CACAGAAGGAAGCGTGCATCTACTGCTACCTCACCTAACACCGCTGAGCTAGCTAACGTTACAGCTCAGCCCAGAGGGATGCCATTAATGTTTTACATCCCGAGCTGTTGCAATCACAAGCCTCTTGTCCATGACTTTCTTCTTCTTTTGATTTGAGGTGAACTGTCCCTTTAACAATTTAGTCTAAGCATTTATGAAGAATAAAACTGCAATCTGCCGAGCCCATTCTAAAAACAGAATTCACACTGCCTACCTGTTGTTGATGGGCGTAACCTGTAGGACCTTGATATTCCTGTGCTCTAAAAAACACAACAGAGGATATCATCCACCGACTGTCACATGCCATCAATGCTTCTGCTCAGATTTCTGGTCTCACTCATTAAAAAGTGGATTTAAGAGACAAAACTGACAAGACCTTCAGAGTTCATTTGATCTAGTTCATGCTGTAAACTAGAGTTGATTCAATACCAGTATTGGGAATGCCCCCTAACCAGCAAGTTCAGGTATTAGAATCGGTATGAGGAAGAAAAAAATGGTATCTGAACATCTCTACTGTCAGCATTTTGTGCACTTAATGCCTTAGTGGATTACAAGAAGACATTTAAATCCTACCGCTTGGGGCGCATCAGGAGCAGCAGTATTTCTCAAGGCTTCAGCTTGGGCTCTTTGTCTCGTCATGGGCAGGCCTGATGTCAACGGCTCACACCTTCCTGGAAGTGCAGATGCCGGCTTGGGTTTCAACAGCTGGGATGCAGCTTTCGAAGGAGGCAAAAGGGATTTACCAGCTGGATGTGTCAAGAAAGTTTTTCGGTCAGAGATGATGTTTGATGGAACATCTGATGGCACCTGACCATCTGGCTTACTGGGACCATCGCCATACAGATTCTTCTGCGCCCCTACGATTTTGCCCTCCTCTTGTCGAGGGTTAAAGATAAAATTTTTACAGCCAGTCATTGGTGTTGAAGTGATCAAAAAATCTGCCTTTAAATCTAGGGAGTCCTCCCAATCAAATGTGTTTGCTTTGTTGCTCTCCATATCCATGCTTTGTTGGCCCAAAGGGTCGGAGAGACCATCTGTCACAGGCAGACCTGATTGTGAGTGCTCAGACTTGTTTTCTTTAGGGCTACTTGTTGCATTGCAGACCTTCAGAGGCTTGTCGAAAGTGCTCTGGTGACTGTCACCTGAGCTCTCTGACAATGTTATCGTGCCATTCTGCTTCAAGGGAGGTTTAGTATCAAAAGTGTTCTGGAGGCAAAAGGTTGCAGCACCAGCTTCCCCTAAAATAGTATTGCCACTGGATTTCCGAAGAGAGTGCCTGTCAAAAGTGGCATTCTGCATATCACATGAATTACCTGCCTTTACAGCAGAGCGAGTTTCACTCTAAACAAGGGAAGTTTCGATGGTATTCTCAGAGACTGAAGTAGCCTGATCTGTAGCCACACTCTCTGCTTTGGGACTGTCTTCATTAGAAGAGGGAAGATCCAGCGTGTTATTTTGAGGCCCAGGTATTTGAGTAGTGGTGTTTAAATTGGTGGAGGGACTCAACTGGGGGGACTGCAGAGTGGTAAATGTGCCGTTCAAAGATCCAGCAGTTTTTTGGCTCGATTGTGGCACGACGCTGGTGAGCTCAGCATCATTGCTGGGAAGTGGGTCTACATTTTTAGCTTCCACAGTATTGGAAGTCGCTACAGGTTCACTTTGAAGCTCAGAAGTGACATTCTTCAAACTATTGTTACACTGCACATCAGAAGTAGAGACCTCTGATGCAGCGCCCAGAACAGACATGTCACTCGAGTTTATGCTGTGAGTAACATTAGCAGGATGGGTACCAAGTGTGTCCTCGGCTGTTGCTTGAATCTTCGCCATGTCTTGTCTGCTGTGCTCTAAAGCAGGCCTACTGTTTTCCAAAACACTGCCTGTAGAAACATCCCGAGTTAGTTCCAAGGAAGCTTGTGTTATGCTTCCCCCCACACTCTTATCAGACTGTTCACATAAGGAGCTTGTGGTGTGAGTGACACTGCCAGTGAGAGTATTTGACAGTTCTCCAGTTTGATTCATGTCCGATCTGACAGGCTCTGCCGCAGTTTGTCCACTGAGCTCTGAGGGAGGCATGTTGTTTTTCAAACTATCCATTGGTGAGATATCCCGCGTGGCCTCCATGGAGGATAACTCCCCTCCTTGTGATAGGTCTGAATCACGTGTAGCATCAAGGAGAGTAATTTCTGGGAAATCCAGAAAGCGCTCAGGAGCGTACTTACTCTCTGGGGAGTCAACCATCTTGACATTAAGGTCTTTACTGGCTGTTGTCCCATTATGTCTTGACAGTTCAGGAGAATGGACTTCAGACGTGTTTTCTTTAGCACTCTTTATGTCATTTAAGCCTGTTTCTGACAAATTGGGGTTTAAATTGGTGGTGTAATGAAATGGGGAGGGCTGGGGAAAGGCAAACCTGCTCTTCACAGACCCAGCTGTTAGAGGTGTAGCGGGCACACTGCCAGGAAGAATTGAATCACATGTAACTTCGAGGAGGGTGATTTCTGGGAAGTACTCCGCATCCAGCCTGCACACAGGAGCATCTAAGCGACTCAGTGAGTGCCCAGAGAACATTTTCTCAGGTGTCCTCTCAGACTCTTGCCTGCAGCCTGTGAATCAAATGATTTAATTAGTGCAAAAATATTTTTACTTTTACATTACCAGATCACGTAAACTTCCAGTGGGACAATATGTACAATTACTGTCAGCTTTAAATTGAAATGACTTGACTACAACATTATATTAGTGGCAAAACAGTTTTTAAATTAGTTCATGTACAGAATAGCTTGTAAAAAATAAAGTGGAAGTATTTTTTTTTTTTTTTACTAAATACATTATTAATATTACAAAGTAACACAAAATAAATTTTTGTTAGCCTACAATAATAAAATAAACTGAAATGAACACACTGAAAACTTTGTCCAATTAGAAAAAAGACTTAGCATATTTCAAAACGTTTAAAATCCAATAATATTGTATTGTGGCCTAAGTACTGTGATAATATCCTATCATGGAGCCTCTGGTGATTCCCACTCCTTGTGTCTACAAGTGTCTGACACTTAAATTTAATGCATTTTTAAGAACCTTTTAGAATAATTTCTAACCAAATTTAAGATTGATTTGATAATGATCATGATGATGAATCGTGTTTGTCTTATTCAAGCATTGCAGGTAAGTATACAGGTAAGCACACCCATGCAGAGGTGGATTTTATATAGGAATATGGTTATTACAGTGAGTTAAGTTAATCTACATTTTGCCAACATGTAAGTGCAAGTATTAAGTAAAAAGACATTAAGATTAGGTTCAGTGGTAGGTTTAAAACTTTGTAACATCAGACATATGGACTTTCACGCCAAATAGCTTGACTCATTTTGACAAAAATAACTTAGAAGATGGATAAATTAAATGGGATACAATGTTTGTGGCAAATTAAAACCTGAAAAAAAATAAAAGTTCACACAACAAAATACTTTTAAGGACTAATATTTATAGATTTGAATTTAACACATTTTACTGCTTTTTTAAGGACCTAGAGACACCCTGAATAAAGTCAACTGATGACCACTGACTAGTGTCAACTATTTCCGTCATGTGATTTGACAGTAGGCTACATTAAGATCACAGGTCCAATAGCAGGACAAAACGTTTGTCATAACGACGACAAACCTTCAGTTTAGTTTGATAAAACACATATTACGTTAGCTTGAAACAATAACATTGCAACTTCAGTCAGCAGGTAAGGTTCATAAGCAGCAGAGGTGACATACACAACATGGCAGTTTAAAAAATGTAGAGACAAACACTGACCGATGTTGTTGTCAAGTTTGAGAGGTTAACGTTACAGTAGTGACGTTATGCTCGAGGCATGAGAAAGTCCCGAACGATGCTAAGCTAACATTAGCCTGGTAACGTTAGTGGGTAAAACGGAAACAACTTTGACTTACCTAATTTCAGAGGCACTTCGTGGGGGAGGTTCATGTCTTTGGAAAGACGGTAAATACTTTCTCCTTTATATTGGAGTCTGCTGAATGTAACACGTATCCACGAAAGTCAGCTGAATGTTAAAATAACACCGAAACGTTCATAAAGTCACAACTTCTGGAGCACCGCTCTGGTTCAAACGTCAGCTCACCGCACGCTGATTGGATGATTCCAACCAATCACAGCCGACAGGTTCTTCTTCGTGAGTTTAAGAGTAACTGATGACCACACATTCGATGGGGCAATACTGCCACCTACTGTCTCGATTAAACCAGATTAAACCATATTAAACATTGAATACATTCCTGTGATTTCTTTACAGTTATATAAAAAGATATATAAAAAGAACCAATGCTGAACAATAAGAATAAAAGTAAAAAAAAATTAAAGTCCATATACAAGTGAAAGGTTGTGCAGGTTGTACACTATATAAAAAGTAGAATTAAATGCTGAATGAATATACATGGGTTGGATGGTTATGTACAGTATGTGTAGCATGTGTACACATTCAAATACTGTATATACAGCATGCAAGCTTCGTGCAGCTGCTCAAACAATATGGTTTGAGGCTCTGATGGGTCTTTCACCAACACTGAGTCATCAACACAGCCACTGTCTCCACTGTTGGCTTCAATAGTTTATAATGTCCATGTTGAAACAGGGTTTCCTCTGCATCATCCTGCAGCATGAGGCTAATCAGGTGCCTCTTAGTTCAAGGACAGAGAACATCAAAGGGAAAAGAAAAGGACTGGAGCACAATGTTTAATTTGCAGGCTGTAATAGTGCAAACAGACCAAGGTTTCAACATCACCATGACTTCATCAGAGAGACTGACTCTGTAACTGTTTACACTATGAATAGCTGCAAACTGATCAGTGTATTCCAGGTTTATGTCCATTTGCAGTCCAAAGAGATTTGAGGCTATGATTATTGTGTGTGCTAAATACCCACCTCTTGCACTGTGTGTAAGAAAGTAACACTCCTTTTTTTCAGTTAAGCTTTATTACAAAACATACAGAAAATAACTGTCACAATGAAAATGTCATCACTGTATTCAGTTTCATAAATACACCAAAAAATAAAGCCATTTGTATATTATATTGAAATATCCACACAAAGTATTTGCTACAATTTATCTTCTTCTTCTCCTCACTCTTTTGTGGTCTTCTTCAGTTTGCTCTTCAGCTCAGACATAAGTGGATTTCCAAATCTAGACAGGCACGAGAAAACTAAGAGTCAGAAAATGTCTGAACACAAGATGATTTTGTGCTGAATATGATAATGTGAATACTGTGAGATGGGGTTTTACCCTGGATGTTTTGGAGGCATCCATTTAGGTCTGTGTGGTGCTTCATCTTGTTTGGGAGTGTCACTCTTCTCCTCTGGCTTTGTCTCCTGTTGATATTGAGACATTTTAATAACACACATAGCTCAACATGAGATAAAAGTGGAATTCAAAGATTATTAATAGTCGCCTACCTCTGAGGGGGTTTCTGGTTTATTTTCATCTCTAACCACCCGCTGAGTCTTCTTTAGAACAGGAAAACCAGCACCAAGTCCTAAAAAACAAAATGTATGACATTATTTACAGATCATGAAAAACAACTGGACATTGAAGACTCAAGGTGGTGGCTTTCTATGTGCTGTAAGTGACATACCAGGAAGTTTTATTCCAATGCCCATGCCTCCCAGAGGTACACCTATAGGGACTTTGGATGGCCGAGGTACAGAGGGTGTGGGATCCAATGAGGGCATATGCAGAAGGGAGCGGGGATCCTTGGGTGGCCTTACACGAGGGTTTTTAACAGCGATTCTTGATCTTTGCACAGTAAAGTCCAGCACAAAAGTGTCCACCTGCAATGACAACAACAGCTGATTTCACATCATCTCTGTGGGTTGTGAATAAATTATTCATGATTTAAAGGTCCAGTGTGTCAGATACAAAGGCATCTTTTGGCAGAAATGGTATTTGATATTCATAACTTTGTTTTCATCAGTGTATAATAACAACCTGAAAATAATAACTGTTGTGTATTTGTTACCTTCGAATAAGCCGTTTATGGAGAGAGTCCTCTCTCAGGGAGCCTGCCATATTGTTTTTACAACACATTCTCACTCCTAACTTGCCGGGAGTGCTTAGTCAATGGCCCTTCATGTCAAAATATGACGTGCTAGGTACCCTTCCAGCATCATTTTTGGACGCTCACAGACGGTGCATAAATTTACATTTTGTCTTTTCTTAAATAAATTTCCATTTCACAGGAAATGTACAGTCTCTGCTCGTTACATGCATACAGTCTCTTTTCGAAATAAACTTAGAATGTTAGTAAAACATTTTGTTTTTAGGTTTACTTCTTTAGGTTTAGTAAAAAAAAGCATGTAATTAGGTTTGGAAAAAACATAGTTTGGCTTAAAATAAGTACATATGTAATGTAACATCACGTGACATATGTCACTAGCATAGCATGTTACACATACTAGCACGCTATGCTGTTATTAAAATAACTCAACTGACTTTTGGTTTCACATGGGAAACAAACAGCTGTCTCGCAGGTGAAAGTCCAGAGTTTATTTGACACATCCACCCACTCTATGTGGACTTTCTTGCTCTTTATACTGTGGTAGTTGCCAAAAGCATAAAAAAAACGGTGCTGCTAAAGCCCAGGCCACACTGTCTGCATGATCAGTGCGTGTAAGTTACAGAATATCTTGTAATTTCTTTTTCGGCGCCCATTTTAACAGGTTAGAGCAGCCACATGGCATGGCTTGACTGCTGCTCAGCTGTGGAAAATCTTACGATTCTGAGTCTTGCCTATTTTTTTTGGCAGGACGCGCACATTTTTCAGCAAAAATAGAGATGGTCTTTTAATAATTATATTGACATCCTACTGGCTTATACTACAGTTTCAATATCTATATCTGTCACAGACATGAAAACAATATGCTTAATTTTAACTCAACACTTCCTGTTTTGAAACAAAAGCCTTCTGATAATGTTTCAGTTGACAGAATCCCTTCATTTGTAAACACAAGGCATTTTGTTTTGAAATATTTGCAGGAACTTGTTGTTGAAAATGCAGTGGCTTCCACAGCTCCATAAATGAGCAGAGTACTGGCTTTTAATAGTGGAAATAACAGTATTCATAGTGGCAGGAAGCTCTGCAGCAGCACCGCAGCAGCAACAATGTCTGTGTGAACACCTTACGCATGAGTTTAGCGAGGTAGTAGTCACGCACTGCTCACGTAGGCAGTGCTGCCAGGATGTAAAGGATGCCGTTGTGCATCAGTGTCTGAAGCCAAGGGCCATTGACCAAGCATTGCTATTTAACAAATTGGGAGTGAGACCAGGTTGGTTTCAACAGTAGCCCAGAAGGGACAAACCAAACACTGGCTCTAGATAGGGCCAGTTGTGTTTTCACATTGTGAGAAGTTTTATTTCTGCAACCTCACCACTAGATGCCTCTAAATCCTACACACTATACCCTTAATAAGATGTTATTATGATTAAAATGTTATTTCAGAAAAGATACCTCCATTTCATCTTCAGACTTTGTCGTCAGCTGTTCTGCCACCTCAGCCCCAGCTTCTGATTCAGCAATATCCTCTGATTGTCTGGGCTGTGGTTCGTCCAGTGAGGGCAACATCCATAACCTCTCGGATTCAGTGCAGGTGTCGTCCTGTGAACCAGATTCTGTCAACACTACTCCCTCCTCTAACGAAGCCTCTGAGCTGCTTCCAGATCGTTCCGATTCAGCGTGTTTGATTTCATCTGGAGAGTCAGACATTTCTAAAGGCTCATCTTCAGTTTCTGCTTTGTCTGACTGAACATCTGCTTCTTCTGTGTCTTTCCAGTCAGTTTTCTCTGCTAATTCTGCCTCCTCAGCATCGATCTCTTTCTGCGATCCAGTTTCAGTCTCCAGTGCTTCAACTCTTTCTTCCTCGGTTTCTTCTTGTGATTTATCAGATTCCTCATTCAGATCTTCTTTCTCTGGTGACGTGACTTTGGAATCTGGGTGAAATCTTGTCGCAGTGATTGACTCATCCTGTTTCAGATCTGTCTCAGCGGTTTCCTCCATCAGAAAATCGGAGTGTTGTGTAGAGGATTCAGAGATGTCTGCCAACATCTCATGAATTCCTTGGAATGACTCGGTGCTAGTTGACTTTGGTTGCTGGGTTTCATTGCTTTGTGTGCCCCATTCACCAAGAGACTGGTCCAAAAATCCAGACTCTACTGTTGATGAAGACATCTCTGTGTCACTCACTAAATCCACAAGCTGCTCTTCATCCTTCTCTGTCTGTGCTGATGATATTTCACCTTGTTCCTCATTTGATGGCTCCGTTTGTTGTCCAGGCTCTGGCCCTTCTTGTTGCTGTATGCCATCATTGTCCTCCGATGAAGCCGTCTGTATCCACAAGTCGAGGATCTCTTCATCAATCACATCCGCACGTCCACTGATTGAGCTAACTGTTTCCTCAGCGTGACTCCCCCCTGATTCTGTCACATGCTTTGTTGTATCCTCTGTTGATATCAAAATCAAATCTTGTGGTTCAGACTGGGCCGTCATTGATTCACCAGGGGCTTCAGGTAGCATCTCCTCATTGCTTATCTCAAGTACTTCGTCGGATAGTTGATTTTTTGTCTCCAGTGACTCAACTGGTCCAGACAATTCAGATTCAGCCATTTCAGTTGCCTGCAGATGAAAAATCTCCATCTCATTTCTGCCTTGCATTTCATCCGCTGCTGCCTCCATCTCAACTGCATAACCTGCATCTTGTATTTCTACATCTTCAAGTAATACAGACTCAGTCTCATCTGAGTGTTTCAGGAATTCAGATTGAGTAATGTCATCCAGTAAACTAGACATCAGGTGTTGCTCCGAGTTCATGACATCGACCAATCCCTGAAAGTAGCTTGTCTCTGTCATCTTCTGTACTTCAGCCTCAGGGAAAGTGTCATCTTCGAGCACTTCCTGTGCTGCTAAAGCTCCTGTCGTCTCCCAGCCGACTCCAGCAGCAACAGCTACTTTGGAATCACATAATCCTTCGTCTTTTTCTAGATCGACCAAAAGCTCTTCAGTCCCATCTTGCGGCTCTTCTGTTGCCCTATCGTCCTTGTTTGTTGATTCGACGTCTGACTCAGATTCCTTTTCTGTTTCCTCCTCAATCCCCGTCTTCATTGAATCAACTAGTAATTCTCTGTCCTCTACCTCAACTAAATGTCCGGATCCTTGAATTAATGTTTCAACAAGTGGTGTCTCTGTTTCTTGTGGCATTCCAGCATCAGCGAGCCGCAGTATTTCAGCGTGATCCTCCACAACCAAACCAAAGCTATTCTTAACACCTTGTTCCTCTCCCATATGCTCCCTCACCAGTAAACAGTCAGCTCCGGCGCTCCAGCCGCTGTTTTGAAGGCTCTCCGGCTCTTTGCTCTCCACCTCTTCTGGTAATGGGCTGCCCTGGATTTCCTCGTAACCTTCGTCCTCCAGGAACCTCTGTGTTGTATTTTCATCTGGCTCATTGTTGTATTCAGGAACTCCCTCTCGTGTTTCCTCACATGTCGGAGAGTTTAGCTCCTCCGACACAACAACACAGCCTTCACACATACTCTGGGGAATATTTTTAAACTCTCCGCTCATTTCCTGTCCAGTCTCGCCGTCAGGTTTATCCATAACTGAGGTGGCTGTACATGCTATTTCCACATCACTTTCTTTGTTGACTGCTTCACTGGAGAGACTCTCCTCTTCTACCTGAGCAAAATAACTCTCATCTGCTGAAGTGTGTGTTGTGATATCAGAGTTTGTATCGATCAGAGAGCCATGGCTTTCTGTCTCGACATCATCTGCCTCTCTTGATTTGGTTTGCACTTCAGTGTCTTCAGCCACATCCTCTTGTTCTACATCTGCAAAGTCAGCTGTGTGCAGCTCTGACTCAGCATTCTGTATGAATTCTTCACTGTGTGTAACATGCTCAGTTAAAATGTCATCTTCTGTAACTGCTTTGATGTCGTCTTCCTGCTCTGGAGCATTCTGCATGATGTCATCGCTGCATGTAACACGTTCAGTTAAAACATCTGCTGTAAGTGTTTCGATGTCGTCTTCCTGCTCTGGTGAATGATGCGTGACTTCTTCACTACATATAACATGTTCAGTTAAAATGTCATCTTCCTGCTCGGGAGTGTTCTGCATGATTTCGTCGCTGTGTGTAACATGTTCAGTTATAATGTCGTCTTCCTGCTCTGGAGCATGCTGCACGAACTCTTCGCTGCATGTAACATGTTCAATGATAATATCTTCTGTAACTGCTTTTATGTCGTCTTCCTGCTCCAGTGAATGCTGCATGACTTCTTCGCCATATGTAACATGTTCAGTTAAAGTATCTTCTGTAAGTGTTTCAATGGCATCTTCTTGCTCGGGAGCATTCTGCACAAATTCGTCGCTACATGTAACATGTTCAGTTAAAATGTCGTCTTCAGTATCTGTTTTGATGTCGTCATCCTGCTCCGGGAAATTCTGCATGACTTCTTCACTACATGTAACATGTTCAGTTAAAATATCTTCTGTCAGTGTTTTGGTTTCGTCTTCCTGCGTTGGAGCATTCTGCATGGCTTCTACACTGCGTGTAACATGTTCAGTTAAAATGTCGTCTTCAGTATCTGTTTTGATGTCATCGTCCTGCTCCGGGAAATTCTGCATGACTTCTTCGCTGCATGTAACATGTTCAGATAAAATGTGATCTTCCTGCTCAGGAGCATTTTGGGTGACTTCTTCATTACATGTAACATGTTCAGTTAAAATGTCGTCTTCCTGCTCAGGAGCGTTTTGGGTGACTTCTTCGCTGCATGTAACATGTTCAGTTAAAATGTCCTCTGTAACTGTTTCGATGTTGTCTTCCTGCTCTAGAGTATTCTGCACAAATTCGCAGCTGCTTATAAGAAGTTCAGTGATGATATCTTCTGTAACTGTTTTGATTTCTTCTTCTAGCTCCGGAGCATTCTGCACGAATTCTCCGCTGCCTGTAACATGTTCAGTTAAACTGTCGTCTTCCTGCTCCAGTAAATATTGCACAAATTCTTCGCTGCGTGTAACATGTTCAGTTAAAGTATCATCTGTAACTGTTTCAATGTCGTCGTCCCGCTCTAGAGCATTCTGCATAAATCCACCGCTGCTCATAACATGTTCAGTGATGATATCCTCTGTAACTGTTTTGATTTCTTCCTCCATTTGTGGAGCATTCTGCATGACTTCTTCGCTACATGTAACATGTTCAGTTAAAATGTCTTCTGTAACTGTTTTGATGTCGTCTTCTTGTTCTGGTGAACGCTGCATGGCTTCTTCCCTATATGTAACATGTTCAGATACGATGACTCCAGCAAGTGTTTTAATGTCGTCTTCCTGCTCTGGAGCTTCATCCATTGTCTGGTTGTTTGCAGCCTCACTCACATCCAAGGCGCTACCATCCGTCTCCTCTTTCGTATCCTCAACTTCATCACTTTCACTTCTTCGAGCCATCACATGCTGTTGCTCGACAGCAGTTAGCTCATCCTCAGACACAATGCTGCTTTTGTCGTAGGTCATTTGTAATTCAACAAGCAGTGGACTAAAGCCTGGGTCCTCCTTGAAATCTCTGTGGTCTTCTGAGGACTCTTCACAGGCTGAGAGCTGATGCTCAACTTGTCTCGCTCCCTCATCGGACTCACTCTCAGAAGCCAGCTGTGGCACACCATCAGTGTTTCCTACTTCCTCATGCATCACCGCTGTATCTGCCTCGTTCCGCTGCATCTTCGACTCTTCCACGTGCATGTTATCCTCTTCTACTGCGGTCAAATCTGCAGTCAGACACAGTTTTACCTCACTGTCTTCCGCCTGCAAATCTTGTTCATCCTCATGCTGCATTTTATCCTCTGCTTCCTTTACTTGGATGGTTTCATCCAGTGTCACCGCCCTCTCAGTGTCCTCAGCACCTCCTCTACTTTCCTCCATGTCTTCGCTCACTGCATCACCTGTAGTTTTTAGTGACCTGATGTTGGCATGCTCTTCTGTCTCACCGTTCTCTGGCATCACATCTTGTCTGCGAGTGTGCAATTTCTCATCTCCGTTTTCTTCTCGTTTGTCGTTTTGAGCAAAGAGCACCCCTGCATCATCATTTCCTGCTCGGCCCGACTGTTCCTCTCTGGTGCCCTCACCTTCCTGAGATGCTTCGCTCTCGCTGCCTCTGCCCAGCTGGGTTTCGCACAGCACGCTTTCTTCATCAGGCCCTAAGTTGATCTCTGTGGTGCAAATCTCCCAGGCCACAAGTGGCCGAGATGAGCTAAGCAGAGCGGCTGTCGCAACAGGCTGTTCCTCATCCACCCCTCCTCCACTGGTGTCCCCCTCTGCGTGGCCACAGTTAGCGGGCTCACTGTCAACTGCTGAATCCTGGATGGAGTTTGGATCATTGCCGGTGATGTTAGTGGGCTCTGGCCTGAAGAATCTGTTCACAGCTCCGGTTATGTAGGACTGAGGAGGAGATGAAGAGAGAAAGATTTATTATGTTATTAATGGATCAACATTTCCTCTATGTATTTCCCCATTTTTGAATGATTTGTCTTTGTTCTGTATTTTTCCCCACATTCATACCATGTGCATCTGCTATATTACTATACTTATACTATATGGCCAAACGTATATGGACATCCCTGTTCCTACCTTCCCGTACTTTTGATCTGAGGCTGTGTTTGAAGGTTTGGGAAAGGCCCCTTCATTCCAGTAAAGGGAAATCTTAATATTACAGCATACAAGGCTTTTTACACAATAGTGTTGTTCCAGATTTGCAGCAACAGTTTGGGGAAGGCCCATTCCTGTTTCGACATCACAATGCCCTCATACACAAAGCAAGGTCCATAAATGGTTTTCTGAGTTTGATGTGGAAGATCCTGACCGGCCCACACAAACCACAGCTCCATCCAAAACCTCTGAAAAATTAACATTAACTTGGTGTCGTGTTTCAAGCGACCTAAGGCTCTCTTCAAAATCTTCTATATCTGGTTCTTTAGGTACTAAATGCTGCATTATGATCAACAGCTATAACTAACTTTGTCTGCTGTTTGGTGCTGGACAGGTGGCATACAGGTAGCCTGGTTTCAAAGTTACGGCCATAAAACCAAAACAATGAGCTGAAAGAAGCTAAAATGCTCCTTTGAGCTGAGAGGAACTGCAGAGCTGGTAATAATTGCCTGTAGGGTTGTCATTACAAGCAACATTTTTCACATTAAAGCTACAAAATAACCTTTTCTCATATTTGCTGAAACAGATGAGACATAATCTGTGAAAAAATCCTCTGCCTACTTTGTTGCAGTGTAGCACTCCTTTAACCCTCTTTTCTTGATTGTTGGTGTTCCCCAGAGGGCTGCAACATTCATTTCTTCCTCTTCATTTAATTTTTACCAACATGGTAAGGCAGTTGTTAACACACCCCAACTTTGGAGGTACAGCAACTTCCCTTTACCGTTAAGCATGAGACACTGTCACCTGTCCCTTCAAAACAAGAGCAGGTAGGAACCAATTAGCTCATAACCAAGGGAACACAGTGACTCCACTTAAACACTGCACATGACAATACAAATGAAACAATACACAAAGTACCATAAATGACGATGAAATAACACCTTACCAGTAACTCAATAATGCTGAATCCATTAATAAATAACACAGTAACTTAAAGGGATAGTGCACCCAAAAATGAAAATCCAGCCATTATCTACTCACCCATATGCCGAGGGAGGCTCAGGTGAAGTTTTAGAGTCCTCACATCACTTGCAGCGATCCCAGGGGAGAGGGGGTAGCAACACAACTCCACCTAATGGGGGCTTACGGCGCCCCAGATTCAAAAGTCCAAAAACACATAATTGACACCACAAAATATCTCCATACTGCTCGTCCGTAGTGATCCAAGTGGGCACCGCGTTCATGTGTGTTCACGTGCTTTCGCTGGTCTCGCGCGCAAAGGGCACACACGTGAGCGCAGTTCCCAGAGAGGCAGTTAGAGCTACAGGCTACAATAAGGCTAAAAACAGAGTTCAAATGACGTTTTTCCAAACAACTTTTTATGTCGGGGCTTCAGGACACTTGGATCACTACGGACGAGCAGTATGGAGATATTTTGTGGTTTCAATTACGTGTTTTTGGACGTTTGAATCTGGGGCGCCGTCAGCCTGCATTAGGTGGAGTTGTGTTGCTACCCCCTCTCCCCTGGGATCTTCGCAAAGGATGTGAGGACTCTAAAACTTCGCCTGAGCCTCCCTCGGCATATGGGTGAGTAGATAATGGCTGAATTTTCCTTTCTGGGTGCACTATCCCTTTAAGTAATAAAAATAACCCCAGAATATAATGTGTGCAGTAATTATGGTTACAGTCTTCCCTTGCTACTAGGCGTTATGGTTACACTTCTAACAGCTGTATAGCACATGAATAAAACCAACCAGTCAGAGCCAAGAAAGTTTGCTCCGGCTGGTGGATGGTGTTTGTTTTCAACATGGCAGCTGGGTCACAGACTTTCTCATTTAACGGCTAAACAGTACACTAAAATATGTTTCTGAAAACATCTGAGGTGAGAAATAGGCAATGCTGTAACAGAATCGTGTTTCATATTTGATCAGCGCTGCCTAGTTTGACAGTTTGACTTCAGTTCACGAGCAGTAATTGACATCACTGACAGCTCAGCTCTGATTGGTTGTTGTCTGTGCATAGTCGTAGATCCTAGCAAATGCCATTAGAGGCAGAAGACGGGGAGGAGAGACATAATTTTTTCACAGACTGTCTGACATCCTACTTTCACAATATAATGACATTTTCAGCAAATACGACAAAAAGTCATGTTCACAAAAGTTACCAACTGTAGCTTTAAACATAATCATCCATTGCTGCTCTAAAAACAGGAGCATTGAAGCACCTTTAAGCATCTAGTAAGCTCAACGCTCATATGAGACTGTCCTGGTCCTGTGGGTTGGAGGACTCTTTGACTCATACTACTAAATATAATACAGCCATCATTAATGTTCTCAGTGCGTTTCCTGTTCATACAAGTGAAAATTTCCACTGTGACGAGGGTCTGCTGAAACACAACAATAGTTTGTGAGCCAGGCCTTACGGTCCAACATCACTACCTCACTCATGCTTTTGCTGAGGAATGAGGGGGGATAAATCTGTAACATTCCTAATATATTTCCTAGTGGAAATTCCCAGACAGAGCTCTAATTGTAGGCAAAACACAGACAGTGTTATAGTGCTACACCAACAAATAATCACTTCCACATAAATGCAATAAACTAGTGTAAGCTACACTGTTTAAATGAGCGTGTAGCAGATCAGCTGAGCAGGGAAAACTGTGCAATCTGTCTAAATGCATGTTTGCATATGAAAAATAAAGTTTCCAATACTCAGTAAATGATGAATACTGGCTTAAAAATAATCAACTGCTTTTAAACCGACACAAAATTATAGACTGTGCCTCTGTTTTCTGAGTTCTTCACACTCAGGAATGTTTTGTGAGATTGTTAGACAATTAAAAAAACAAGAAGAACAATGTGCAAATGACAAATTTCCTGCAGACAGATTTAAAAACAGCAGTGATGTAATGTTTGGGTGTCCATGTACTTTTGGCTCTGTAGTGTACATTTAACACCTCATATGACCTTCTTTGTCAGTGCTGTTCCTGTATGAATATACCATATGTGTGTGTGTGTGTGTGTGTGTGTGTGTGTGTGTGTGTGTGTGTGTGTGCAAACAGGAGAGTGAGACAGAGGGGGGTTCACGGACACAGGAAGATGGAGACTTTCCATCCACGTTTACTGCTGCTAACATTAAAATCAAAGCAGTTATGTCGCGTTAAGACGCAGCAGCAGCAGCTCACCCAAACTGTCCAAAAAGTCCTCTCCACCCTGCCGATCATGGGACTGTCTTCGTCCATCCTCAAACCTTCCTCCGTGTTGTCCCTCTGACCATCTGACATTATTCCTCTGGATGTGACAAACAGTTAAGTTAAACCTTCCTGTAACTCGACAGCAGCTCCATCCAAACGCGCCCAGCCCTGTGCGCCTCCGCTGATGACCGCGGCTCAGTTCCTTGTATAGACATATGTCCGGTGTATCATGATGAGGAAGAAGGTGATTAACACAGCTGAGTCGCCACAGCATCAAGCTTACGTGTTGCACAGTTTGCGGATATGCGCAGAGCTTCTGTTAAGTCAGGCCACAGCTGCTTTCAGAGCTGATGTGGGTGTTTTTAAATAGATCTGATCACATTCAGCAGAGTTAATGTTGATTCATCAACACCAGGAGCTCCTGAACGCGTCTTCATGATTAGGACCAACTTCCCAAAAATAAACAGATCTTAGTCTTTGCAAACATCCCATAATATAAAGTCTCTTAAACTTAAATATAACAGTACAGATTGGCCTGCATTTGGTTGACTGGTGTTCAAATTAGAGATACACCACCCACACAGCACTGTAATTTTAAAAATGTGCTTAAACAAGACTGAAATTTGTCAGTTAATAGAATATAGGGGCAGAAAAAATGAACTTCAGGCACTCATGAATGGAGCAGGAACTAATGCAGTTGAATTAAGTTAAAATGCCTTTATTAAAAAACATGGCTTACATTAAAACTGACCGGTTTCAACCCTAAGGTCTTCATCAGAATGCAAAAAAATAAAAATACAAGAAATACATAAAATAAAATAAAATATAAAATATGAAAAAAAAAATTAAATAAAAAAAAAACTGATGAAGACAAGTCAGTGTTTTAATGTAAGCAGCCATGTTTTTTGAATAAAGGCTTTTAAACTTTTTAAGCATTTGTTCCAGCTCCACATCTGAGTGCCTGGAGTTCATTTTGCCTACCCATGTGCTGACCCTTTTCTTCAAGAGCATCTATGTTTTTTCTTGAGTTTAATATAACAAAGACAGTCTTCGGGCACATCACTACGTTGGTCTCCAAAGTAAAACTAATATACTCTTGACCAAATTAAATTTGAATGCAGAAGCACTGAAACACACCCTTTTCACTTCCATACACTCAGGGATTTTGCTGCTACAGCTGTAGGGCCTACTTGGTCTGGTATGACCCGGCGGACCAGGTCCTTCTTCATAAAATTTTGAGCATCCAACACTTAACTTTCTGCATTCTGGTGAATTTCTAAGCACCGGTTTGTGCCCTTTTTGCATCAATTTATGGTTAAATGTCTTTAGTTGTGTCAAAATAAAGTCCTCTGCTACTTTTATGTTTTTATTGAGGGGGACAAATACACTTCTAAATATCTCGCCTAGGTGACACACCCTCTACCATCCCCTTGACTTCCCAGTGACAAAGTCAGATCATATATTATGTCACTGTTGCTGATATCATATGTACGAAATGTGTAAATAATGTCAGACTTTGTGGAAACGTACTAGCCAACAGTTTCTTCTGGTGTCTGGGCTGGACTCAATATTAGGAGAGTGTAATGCTAAATCGGAGGAGTACTCTTTGCACAGCTACACTTCAAGCATTTAGCATTGTTGTCAATTATTGACACTCTCCTGCAAAGTTATATTTATTCACCTTTTTCCTTGTCACGTCAAAAAATTCCCACTTATTGAGTTCTTGCTGATGTGCACACTATTATACAGTACATGCAAAGTGTATGTTCATGATAGTGATAGTAGTAGATAGTAGCAGCTGTATGAGGTTTCCATTGGTCATGTAGTCCTCTTTTTGAAATTTAGAAAACATACACTCACTGAAGTTCAGACTGAGCATCAGAATGGGGAAGAACGGTGATTTAAGTGACTTTGAACGTGGCATGGTTGTTGGTGCCAGACGGGCTGGTCTGAGTGTTTCAGATTTTCACACACAACCATCTCTAGGGTTTACAGAGGATGGTCCGAAAAAGAGAAGATATCCAGTGAGCGGCAGTTCTCTGGGTGAAAATGCCTTGTTGATGCCAGAGGTCAGAGGAGAATGGTCAGACTGGTTCAAGATCATAGAAAGGCAACAGTGACTCAAATAACCACTGGTTACAACCAAGGTCTGCAGAAGACCATCTCTGAACCAACAACACGTCCAACCTTGAAGCAGATGGGCTACAGCAGCAGAAGACCACACCAGGTGCCACTCCTGTCAGCTAACAACAGGAAACTGAGGCTACAGTTCACACAGGCTCACCAAAACTGGACAATAGAAGATTGGAAAAACATTGCCTGGTCTTATGAGTCTGGATTTCTGCTGCGACATTCAGATGGTAGGGTCAGAATTTGGTGTAAACAACATGAAAGCATGGATCCATCCTGCCTTGTATCAACGGTTCAGGCTGCTGGTGGTGTAATGGTGTGGGGGATATTTTCTTGGCACACTTTAGACTTAGACTTAGACTTGCTTTATTGTCATTCAACAAATACACCATCGGTGCCCCTTCGTACCAACTGAGCATGGTTTAAACACCACAGCCTACCTGAGTATTGTTGCTGACTGCGTCCATCCCTTTATGACCACAGTGTACCCATCTTCTGATGGCTACTTCCAGCAGGATAACGCACCATGTCACAAAGCTCAAATCATCTCAAGCTGGTTTCTTGAACATGACAGTGAGTTCACTGTACTCCAATGGCCTCCACAGTCACCAGATCTCAATCCAATAGAGCACTTTCTGCAGCAACTGTGTGATGCTATCATGTCAATATGAACCAAAATCTCTGAGGAATGTTTCCAGCACCTTGTTGAATCTATGAAATGAAGAATTAAGGCCGTTCTGAAGGCAAAAGGGGTCAAGGTGTACCTTATAAAATGGCCAGTGTGTGTATACTATAAAGTATCACATGGACAATATCTGTGGAAGCTGGTAGAATTTTGCAGAACACAAAATACACAAATCTTATTTCATATACAAGGAATGAAAATTGTATTTTACAATATGCATGTTTGCAGCCGTGGTCGACATACTCGCTGAATAAGAAGGAAGTTCTAAACTAAACAACATCTTAATTTCACAGTTCAACCACGCAGCACCTCGTCCGCTCAGAGCAGTGAAGTGACATTCTCTGTGGTCGGAATGTGACAGAGAAAAAACAGAAGTGTATTTTAAAATGAGAACTTCTTTCAGCGGTTGACCAACAGCAGATATGAGAACACTGAACAGAAGAGAACTACAGTAACTCTGCCTGTTGACTCATCTTCACAGAGAAAAACAAAATACAAAGAAACATCTCTTCAAAAAAAATTAGATTTTATTCTCCAAAGCAGATTGAGGAAAAAGAATCGGATTATTATTGTAAAATTATTTGTACAAAAATATGAACATTTGTAAAAAATCATGAGGTTGGAAAAAGGAGATGGGTGACAGATTAAGAATAAAAGGTAATAAATAAAAACCAAACATAGTGGACGCAAATCCACATCATCAAAGACTACCTTGGCTACTACTATAAAGATATATATTAGATATATTATATGGGATATATGAAATACAGTGGCACTCTTGCACACATCAGGGCTGTCATGCGGAAGATGAAATTTCCTCATTGGGCTCTGAAAGAGAAGACACAAGATCAAGCTGGAAAACATGAGCTAACTTCCTGTTGAGTGTCACATCAACTTTTTGACAGTTGGCACATCAGTTATCTTTCACTCATGATGTAGACTCTGTTTAATCTGTTCGTTTGTCTCACCTGTCCAGGTCCGATAAACAGGAAGCTTGAGCGCGGGGTGTGTGATCTCCACGCACACTCTCAAACGTGCTCTCTCGTTCTCTCTGGGGCCCTTCCTCAAGTTCACTCTGTTGATGTGCAGCGCTCCCGGGTCTTCGTCTCTTTCTTTGTCACTGTCTTCATCCAAGTCTGACTTTGTCTCCTCGTCCCTGTCAATGTTGTTATTCTCCCCGTCCACGTGTTCGTCAATGTATTCGATGCCTTCAGTGTGGGGGTCTGTGACGGCTTCTTTTGTTTCTGTGAAGCAACAACAGTAGAAAATGAAGACAGGACCAAAGTTTATGTAGAGTGTTTTATGTCAGAGAAAATAGGAATACTGTATTGGCAGTGTGGCGTATGAGGGAATGCAACCTCAGAAGTGAGACCAAACACTGTGTGGAGGGTGTGTGTTGAGTTTCCACTTAACATGCACATGATATTTTAGATCTCACACAACTGTAAATCAAGTTTGCACACCTGATACCTTCAAGGAGACTGGTGAAGAAGAGAATACTGAACTTCCCATAATGCAATAGGAAAATCATGTTTCATCACTATCCACATATTTTTAAACCCCAGGCCCAACTTTGTGGCACAGGGTTCCCAACAAAAACTTGCTGACTTTGAACCCGAGCCAAAAACAAAGAAAGAGGGCATCATATCCTGAAACCACGCCCACCAGACGGGAAAACAATTGTCACCACGATTTGCAACCAACAGCTGATAACCTCACAAAAACCTGTCGCTAGCTAAAAACATTACATTTAAAGGATTATTTTAGCACCCTGTGTCTATCAGAAAGGAAAATGTATATTGTCAAACTCAACATTGTCAGTCTGCCTTAAAGTCCCCTCTCCTTACCTTTGCTTATTTTGGAGAAATGATCCCACTGAATGGTCAGAAGTGAAATACTTTGATATTTACAACTAAATTGATCGCCAGAAATTTTTTTGGTGTTGTACATTTCTGCAAACCATGGATATGTTAGGTTTCTGGAACTTTAAATTTTAATAATGCTATGGTTAACATGTGGCTAGGTTTAGGCACAAAAACAACTTGCTTATGTTTAGAAAAAAAAGATCATGTTTGAGCTTAAAATCTTCAGTGTTGGGGGCAAAATCACAGCAGAAAACACAGTGATGTCCATGTAAAAAATGAATGATTTTTTGGGGACTATGGGCTGTGGAAAATCAGGATTCGGGGCATCGGTGGCTTAGTGGCAGAGCAGGCGATGCATGTACAAGGCTGTTGCCGCAGCGGCCCGGGTTCAAGTCCAGCCTGTGGCCCTTTGCTGCATGTCACTCCCTCTCTCTCTCCCCCTTTCACACTTTACTGTCCTGTCCATTAAAGGCAAAAAATGCCCAAAAAATATCTTAAAAAAAAAAAAAGGAAAATCGCAATTGGTCCCTAAAAAACACCCACATATGGCGGCTAAAAAGCGACTGGAAACACAACAATGACTCGCTAAAACACGACCACTTTTGTTTTTTGGTTTCAAACAGTGGCCTGCAGGTTGGCAGGTGTTTCACCACGGTGACACACCATCCACTATCCCCTCCTCCTCTCAATGAAAAAGTCAGCTCATTTACTAAGTCACCTAAGAAATGCTGATTTAATACCTTTGAAATGTAAAAATGTAACATATCCGTGGTTTGCAGTAACCTACGTTGCAAACATTTTCTTCAGGCGACTTGTGTACTACCAATATTTGATCAAATCACCAGGTAAGATCATCATTTAATCTACAAATGTCAACACCAGGCCTTGCATAGCATAGTTACCTTTAACGTAAACAGTGTTTCTGGCCAAATTAGCAAAAGTAACTCATTTAATGCATACAAAACCTCCACTTAATAAAAGTAATGTCAGCAATATCCAATTTTGTCTTCTCAAGACTCGATTGAGGAGAATCCCCGCTCAACATACTGAGTGTAACACTGTGTATGCCGTCCAGAGTTTCTGAGGGTGTCCTTGCCCAGTTTTTGCATTTAACCCAAACAGTATTCCCTTGTGAGTTACTCCATGTTCCCAAATAAGGTTATTCTGTCCTGATCTATGGCTATGTGAAGTTTCTATTGGTTACCAACTTTAAACAACAAGCACACTCACCTGGCTCGAGCTAAATCACCTTGACTGTCTCTAACAAAATGCACATATCTAAAAGAGTCTCTCGTCTGTTGAGCCTGGAACATGGGGCAATCTCCGTTCCCCTTAACCCTGGGAGCTATGGCAACAGAGCTGGCTAAGCACCCTTATCTGGGCAGCTGTGCTCCTTCTGCCACAACTGGGAAGCCTCAAGGTCAAGTAGTCTGACCTTGAGGTCTCTTTTAGGTGTTCTGCTGACCTGACTGTTACCTCAAGCATAACTATCATTGTTTTCCCTTCCAGTGTGGGCGGGACTGAGGCTAGATGACATCACCAGGGTTACTCTCCCAGACTTTAAGAAAGCTCCTCTAGAGCCACAGACGAAAATACATACATGATGTGTTAAATTTTTGGAATTCCCCTTTAAATACTCTTTAAAACAAGAGGTGTGTATATAAAGCAATGACACGTACTTATGGCGTGTCCATTCTTCCGTCTCTCCAGCTGCTTATTAGTCTGATGTGGCAGGTTTGTGGATCTCTCCAAGGCACACACACTTTTCAGCTCCCTCTGCCCATCGTCTCCTATCTCCTCTGTCTCGTTGGACACCAGTGGTGAGAGAGTGTGTCCTCCTGCTGCCCAGAGTAATTTGACCTTAGGGTGACCTCCCTTCAACAGGACGGAGAACACACCAACGCCTTCACTGCTCCAACAGACAGAGAGCGATGGAGGAATGGACGGAGCAGCTGAAGGAATACAAACAGGAAGTGAATGAATAGGAATAATATCTTAGAGTGAAGTTTGAGTTTAGATATTGAAAGAACTATATCATAGGGATAATATCCAATGATGATGATTCATACCGATGTCAACATATCTCCAGTGTTTCTCCATAGGCTCATGTAGGGAACAGTGCTCCACTCTACAGATAATCCCTCCTCTCTCCTTTTTCTCCTGATTCACTGCCTTTCTCCTCAGAATGGCCGTGGCCCTGTAGAGTCCGGGCTGAGTCTGTATGGGGCCCCACATCTCTCCTCCCTCTAACACCTCCTCCTCTCTGTCATCCTGCTCTCCCTCCCTCAGCCTCAGCCAGGTGACTGACACATTCGGAGGGTAGAAATCTGTGATCTCACATCCAAGGGTCAAAGTCTGGTCTGGGGAGGAAGTGGAGCCGACGATTTCGGACACACACGGCCTCTTGATGAATCCTATTTGGGTTAAAGTGGAGATTTAAGCTTTGATTTTTACTGTCAAACTGCATGCCCTTTCTTCATCTCGTTCTTACCTCTGGTCTCGCGGGTGACGGGCTGCTTCAGGGCGATGTGGTGAACACTGACCCACACTTTAGTGCCACCCTTCTCCAGTTCACTGCGGGGCAGCTTACACTGGCTGAAGGCTGAGAAGAAGCCTTCAGAGTTGGGTCGAGGCGAGGACGAGGCCTGGGAGGCCACAGGGCTCAGCTCGCTCCCCTGGCAGAACCAGCGGAAGGTAATGACGTCCGGATGGAAATGTGACGCCCGGACGGTCATGCTGATGACATCTGGAAGACAGGAATTGCAAAGATGCAGCCTCTCACAACCAGGAATGTTTTACATCTATTAAAGTGCAACAGAATAAGATGTTTACCTGAGTCACTTGGTGTCTCTGCAAGCTGGATTTCTGATACCTCTGGAGCAGCTAAAAGAAAAAGTGTACAAAGATACCAATTCCATAAATTGCTGAGATCACAGAAAAGCAGATGCAGTATGTGTAAATGAAAATCTTTCTTACACAGGATGGTGAACTTCTCTGAGACTCTCTCCACCACGATCTTATCTTTGCCCACGTAGGACACCTGACACTTAAACACCGCCCCCTTGTGGGTTGAAATCTGGGGGATGAAGGTGAGGGAGGAGGTCAGCTGTTGAATGCCACTTCCAGATGAATGCAACGGCCCCTGAGTGTGCAGCTTGTAGTAACCCATCTGGCCTCTGGAGGACAGCAGAGGGCCTTTCTCCGACACTGGAGAGGTGAGAGTTAGACCGTAGGGCAGATGGATGGTGGTTAGAGGGTTATAGAGGCAGTTAAAGTTAGCTTTGGAGGTTCCTATGTTTGTGAGGTTGTACAGTGTTAGCAGAATTAAGTGTAAAAGAGAAAACATGGTATGTTTTAGGAGTAGTTACAATACAAATAGAAGACATCTTATGTGGCATCATTCTGCTTTCCACATTTTTATTTCCCTTGAAAGTTATAGTCCAGGTTTTTTGAAGTGGGGCTGTATGAGATACTTACCTACAGTAGATGGCAGCTGGCGCGCTCCCTGTTTGCAGAAACAGACAGGACTAGCACCCTAGATGCTCAGCTATGCATTGGATTAGGGTTATCAGCAATATGTGTTTTAGCCACTTAAAAAGAAGTCAACATCAACCTCTCTATGTTTACAATATCTGCACCGCTTCACCTTGCCGTCAGTCAGCACTTTCCTTTGGAGCTACTATGGAGCTATTTTCTCATCTGTAAAACTTCCATATTCCTGTGCAAATACGCCCAGCAGAGCCTTGCACTGTACATCACTGGTAAGCTGTTCTGCAAACAGGGAGTGTGCCAACAGCCACCTACTGTATGTAGGACACTGACTATAGATAAGTATCTCAGACATTCATTCATTTATTTTCCGTAACCACTTATCCTGTTGGTCTATCCCAGCTGACATTGGGCGAGAGGCAGGTCATGAGGTTATCACAGGGCTGACACACAGAGACAGACAACCGGTCATGCTCACATTCACACCTACGAGCAATTTCACCAAACAACCTTTGGAATGCGGGAGGAAGCTGGAGTACACGGAGAAAACCCACACTGACACAGGGAGAACATGCAAACTCTGGGCAGAGGGCCCTGGCACCACTGTATATCATACAGCCCCACTTAACAAAAAAACACAAACTATCCCTTTGAAGGAAAACTTCACTCACAAAATGATCGTTTGTACTATTCATAAATTAGTCATGTCGTGTCACCTTGAACTTGTGTGCCTCCACAGAAAACAGCTAACATACGGATTTATTGACTGACCACGTTTAAAACAGCAAAACTACATCAAAACATCCATTTACACACTCTGACACAACTCTTGCAGTATAATTCAAGTCTCATTTATCCAGTCGTATGCTCAGTTTTTCCCATTATCACTAAAAACCTTATCCAGAAAATTAAACTTATCTATGATATCTTCAAAGTCAAACTCTTAGTAGTTCAATGGTGTTCATTATGTCTTTAGTTTCTGATAATGACTGTAGTTGTTCTTTTATCTCAGACATGTTAGGATGTTACATACCTTGACATGTTTCGGCGGAAACTTCCGCCTTCCTCAGAAGTGTCCAAGGGACAAGGCCAGAGTCATACACACCGAGGACAACACATACTGGCGATGGATCAGGGAGGCTATTGAAATAGGGAAGCAGGGCCCAGGGACGATGAACAGGGACGAGGGGGCATACATGCTCTCCCACACCTGGAACAGCGTCCTGGAGAGGCGGCAGACGGACCCTAATATCGGCTGATTGACAGATCAGCTGATAAAGATGTGTCACAACCACCACCAAGTGACACTTCTGAGGAAGACAGAAGGTTCCGCCGAAACATGTCAAGGTATATAACATCCTAACATGTCTGAGATAAAAGAACAACTAAAGTCATTATCAAACTCTTAGTTTTTAGTGGAAACGTGTGTTTAGGAAGTGCTGAGCATACGACTGGATAAATGAGACTTGGATTTTACTGCACAAATTTGTTTTGATATAATTTTGCTACTGTTAAATGTGATCCCCAACCAACCACTAAATCAGTATGTTTTCTGTGGAGGCATGTAAGAAAAACAAAGTGTTCCTCATGAATTCAAGATAACACAACATGACTAACAGATTCATTAATGATCATTTTGTGGATAAAGTATTTCTTTAAGTTGCTTTAAAGGAGCTTAGATTAGTATAAAGAATAGAAACAGGAGGAGACAGCGAGCCTGCCTCTTTCTAAAGGTGACAAACTCCACACACCAGCACCTGTAAGCTCACAAAATAGACTTGTTCTCTGGTTTGTTTAGTCTGTACAAAAACAGTGTAAAATCTGCATCTCTGCTGGTTGTTTGGCAACGTCACCGTGACAACAGCACCCCAAGGAATTCACTGTGTCTGGCCAAGAAATAGTGTGGCACATCATTCCCACATCAAACCCCAATGTGCTGTTTTGCTGCTTTGGTTTTTGTACTGATTAAACAAATACGATAAAACATGTTGACTTATCTGATAGTGGTAGCTTCATATTTACTGTACAGATATGTGAGTGGTTTTTATCTTGTCTTTGATTCTTGGAAAAACATTGAAAAAACACAAAATGTTGAACTATGTCTTTACAGTTGAAAGCATCATCTTTTCCACACTGACTATGTTTACATGTACAAAATATTTAACTTCTCCCCCTTATTCTGAAAGACAGTATTCCCACTATGCTACTAATCAGCAGAGATACATTAGAAGAAAAGTTGATCTACAGGAGAATAAATATTTGACAGCTGAAAGCCTGAAAGCTTTACTGTGTTACATTCTATTATATTTTCATAATCATCATCATCTGTTGATTTTGTATTTTTCTCTACGTGAATGAAAACATTTCCACCATTAACTGGTGTGTAAAACTTCACCAGAATGCAGGAAATGAAAAGTTTGATGCTCAAAACTTGCCTGGAGAGGACCCCAGGCTTATTATGTTGAAATGAAACCTACGCCCTTGAACTGCTCGTTATATGGATGTGTGTGACCTCTCCTACCTGTGAGTGAAGTGTCAGAGATAGGAGTGTCATTGAGGAACCATGCAGTCTGGACTCGGTCCACCCTCCTGCCCTCAATGCTCACTGTCACCCTGCCCTTTTGACCTACGATCACGCGTGGCGGGAGGATGATCCCCGACACATTCAGGGACTTCTGTTTCTCTGAGGGAGGAAAAAAAGAACACAGATAAATTAGTTAGTGACCGTAAAGAGGTGTTGAGGTGACAGCTGATATGCAATAACTATAAGGTTTGCTGTCAAGCATGCATTCCTCACAGTCTGCCTGAAAACCATCATGTCTAAGTGCTTATAGTTTAGTAACATAATAGTTTATGGAAATGTGATACTGTAAACGCCAGTTCAGAGTTATGCCAATAAAGAACAGAGGCCTTGTTGCATTTTGGTTTTAAAGACAATGCCTTTTTGTAGTATCTCTACTCGCATATCTTTTGAACATCTGTGGATCTCCTGGTATATTCCCAACATGGGTGTTAGCAGCCTCATTATTAAAACTTCCTAAGTCTAAAATCCCATCTTACCTCAGTTTACTACAGTAAAATGTTTCCTAACTGCATCTATAAAAAAATCAGACCAGTGGTTCCCAACTGGTGGGTCACGGTCAAAATGCAGGTTGCTGGTCCATTCTGAATGGACCACAAGTGACCTGCAGACACGTCAAGTTTGTAAAAAACACACTTGACATGCATGATGCTAAATCTATAAACTGTGTGGACCTTGAACCAAGACTAAGGAGAAATCTGGACCCCATGGCTGGACCAGTTGGGAACCACTGACATAGACCCTGTCCTAAATTATAAATAACTGCCACACGTGGCAGCAGCACTGTTGTTAGGTCTGTATGGCAATTACAATGAAATGGGGAACAAAATAAACACTGAAACATAATGATTGACAGGCTACTCAAAACATATGATGACGCTTTAAATTTCCTGGTCCTGATTAAATTTCGATTGCTGAGATGATTAATTTTGAATTTGACCGACGTGCTGTGTCCGCCTCTGCAGAGGCCTATTGCTACAAGAAGCAAAAATTGAATGCCTGTCTTTTTGTGTCCATGATAGCAAGTTAGGTAGCCTGTAACAAGTGAGAGCTGTTGATGATATGGCCTGTCCATCTTGAGTACTGGTACATTCTTAACATAGATACAGGCCTGACAGCACGAGTGTCGACTGAAGAATCAAGTTTGCAGTTATAGGTCGAAGTTTAAGATAAAAGTGTACAATGCAGGAATTGTGGGGTACTGTTCGTAAACAGTATCACCAGCTGAAGTATAGGTGAGAGTCAACCCCAGATTTGCTTTATTTATGTTTTTTTCCAGCGCTGTGTCCATAATTTTTATAGCTTCCTCTTAGATGTGTGATACACTTTTAAGTCAAAGCTAAAAACATTCCCATTTCGCACTGTCTACTCCACCCTGTAATGATTGCAGCTATATTTTCAAACTCAATTTTTCTCAACTTTGAATTGACCCCAAATGTATGAAATGTGCTATACAAATAAAGCTGCCATGCCATGCGTGCTGCTCACAGCACCTGTTTGCTAATTATCGCTAAAGTAAGCTGTGGCGATGAAAAGGGAGTACTGACACAAGAAAAATTAAATCACAAAAGAGTTTTCAAACTAAAACGGGGTCAGCAGTGTTTTCAAAGGTCTGTTTTTGGGGTTCAAAAACACCAGAGTAGTATGGATGTTAGGCGTAAACATGGCAATGGTTATGTATTTTAAAATAAAAAACATATCAGTGTGGATGCAGCCCTAGTGTGTCATTTTCTTTCTACTGAACCACATCTTACAACCCTGTCACCGCGCAAAAGGAAGTGTGCATCTACTGCTAGCTCACGTAGCACCACTGAGCTAGCTAACATTACAGCTCAGATGAGGAAGAGCACGAGCCTGAGTAGATGCACGTGTCCTCCTGCGCCGTGATATGGTTGGTGGGTGTAGTTCAGTAGAAAGACAATAGTTCCTACATGAAACTGCTCACAACAAGGTCTGTGGATTATTTTTATTTTTTATTTATTTTTATATACTTTATTAATCCCCGAGGGGAAATTCAATTTTTCACTCTGTTGTCAATTACACACAGGTCCGAACACTCATATGCACAAACTGGACCTATGCATGCACTAAGTGGAGAGATGTCAGAGTGGGCTGCCGATGACAGGCGCTCTGAGCGGTTGGGGGGTTCGGTGCCTTGCTCAGGGGCACCTCGGCAGTGCCCAGGAGGTGAACTGGCACCTCTCCAGCTACCAGTCCACGCTCCATATTTTGGTCCGGACGGGGACTTGAACAGGCGACCCTCCGGTTCCCAACCCAAGTCCCTATGGACTGAGCTACTGCCGCCCCCATCTTGGGTATCTTGAGTAACCCGGTCATGACTTCTGGAAAGAGACATTGATGTTGAGTTTTCATTTTTTAATTTTTTTTTGGGGGTGCATTGAGCACCATAAGAGTGTCATCTAGGTCCATCACATTCAAGAAGAGGCAGACATCTCTACAGCCGATATCGCCAACACTCTGCAACTCAAATTATGTTCTTTTGATTTCGGGTGAGCTGTCCCTTTGAGGGTGCTCGTGGTGTGTACCGCTGCCCTCTGACTCACCATCTCTTCTCCTCCAAGAAAAGCCAAAGCAGAGCAGGAAGACCAGTACAATAGAAATACACATCATGGCCACGGATGCTTTGGCTGATTTAGTCAACACTGGAGCTTCATCTGGGAGGAAACAGAGTGAGAGAAGTGTGTATGATTACATTATGCAAGCATCAAGAACAAGATGAACAAGTTGCAAACAACTGCACAGTGTCTGTTTATCTTGCAGCCAGACTTTGTTTTGTTTTTGCAGTTCTCAGACATTTGTCATCTGATATCATTAGATTATCTATCACCATCAATCAAAGTGAAAAAGATACTGAGAAACAAAAATGATTGCATGTCTCAAATGTGAATTGTACCCTGTGTCTGCTCTACTTCTAAGAATGTCGAAAATCGTATCAAATATATACCTCGAGGGTCCAGTTTCTCTAGGTACGCTGAGCCGCTGACTGGATGCATTACCCCCGGTTGGTTAACTGCACACTCCACCTTCCCACCTTGCTCCCTCTGCTCGGGACTCAAAGTATAGTAGCGTCTACTTCTATAGGTCCCATCTGGGTTCTGCTCGGTGGCGAGGGGCTCAGGGAGGACTGTGCCATTTTGAAGCCAGGACACAGACACTTCCTCTGGGTAGAAATTCTCCATGTCACAGTAAAGAGTGAGAGGAATGTTGTTGGAGTGCGAGGGAACGACAGAAAGTCTCACAGAAGGGAGATCTGTGGAGACAAAGACAATATCTAAATGTTTAATCATGGGCTTAATCCGATTTAAAACAACAGCAGATGTTCTTACAGATTGTCCTTTAATGATTGACAGAGGCAGCTATTGTGATTCTACATGAAATAAAAATGTAATGAGTCATTGTGGTTGACTCAGTGTGTCTTTGTGTCACTCACAGGTGATATTAAGCATGAAATCAAGCTTGCGGTCACTGCCATTGTGTGACACTTTGCAGCCAAAGGTTGCATTCTGGTCCTCGCGTGAAGGGTAGAAGGTCAGGTTGCCCACAGCCATGTAGTACCCATCTGGAGTCTGTTCACCTTCAACGATGTAGGGAGGTTGAATCACTTGCCCATCTCTGGTCCAGGAGAAGAAGACAGGAGGAGGATAGAAAGCATCTGCATGGCATTTGAGATGACTCTCTGTTTCTAACACCATCCACTGCTGAGGGACAGAGAGAGTGGGGGAGGCTAAAAAGGGGAGAAGAAGGAATAAGAGGGGATTAAAACTTCAGCTGTGTACCTGCTTTTAGGTTCAAATGTGCAGTTAAATGTGCAAATCAAATCTCAACAACTGGACAATGACGAGACGTACCGAGGATACTAAATGTAACGTTGCTGGAGTGCACGGCTGTGGAGTTGTAGCTGACTGTGCATTCATACACCCCCTGCAGGTCGAGAGCGGCTCTGAGGACGGTCAGTGAAAAGTCCCCGTTGACGAAATCAGTGGTGTCCCAACTGAAGCCTGGCTTTATCTGTGGCACACCCTCTCTGAATGAGGCGATGTCAGAGCCATTACTTATCCAGCTGACTTGGATGAGAGACTTCTCTATTTTGTCCCCTGTTGCAGAGAGGGGGAACGTCACGTTGCAGGGGAGGATTGCGTTTGTATTTGGGCTGGCCTGTATTTCACTTGGAGACACTGTGAGCAGAGAAAGAAAGTTTAGATGGAGAGGACATAAAGAGCCTTTGCTGAACTGCACTCATTGATGATCCTTTACTGCAGTACATGGGGGGGGGGGGGTCTGCATGTTTACTGATGAGATTTGGTTAATAATTACATCTGATCATCAGCTGCAGTTTTAATTAAAATACACTCCTGTCAAAACAGGAAACTGTCTTTAAAAAAGTTTTATAACCAAGCTAACATATAACACTAACCCATAAAAATACCAAAAAAATCCAAACAAACAAAAAACTAGAATAACCGCCCTGCGGTTGTTTGCATCAGCTCACCAGTCAAATTTCTCCTTTGTCATAATTAGTGTACGATTTTTTGAGTTATAGCCAAAAAATGCTTTGTGAGGTCACACTGACCTTGACATTTGACCTTTGACCACCAAATTCTAATCTGCTCATTCTTCAGTCCAAGTGGACGTTTGTGGCAAATTTGAAGAAATTCCATAAAGGTCTTCTTGAGATATCGCATTCACAAGAATGACACAAACAAGGTCACAGTGATTTTGACCTTTGACCACCAAAATCTAATCAGTTCATTGTTGAGTCCAAGTCGATGTTTGTGCCAAATTTAAAGAAATTCCCTCAAGGTCTTCTTTAGATATCGCGTTCACAGGAATGAGACAAACAAGGTCACAGCGATCTTGGCCTTTGACTTATGACCACCAAAATCTAATCAGTGCATCATTTAAATCCAAGTGAACGTTTGTGGCAAATCTGAAGAAAGTCCCTTAAGGTGTTCTTGAAAAATTGTGTTCACAAGAATGACACAAACAAGGTCACAGTGATTTTGACCTTTGACCACCAAAATCTAATCAGTTCATTGCTGAGTCCAAGTGGACATTTGTGCCAAATTTTAAAAAAATCCCTTGAGACATTCTTGAGACATCGTGTTCACAAGAATGAGACAAACAAGGTCACAGTGATCTTGACCTCTGACTTATGACCACCAAAATCTAATCAGCTCGTCACTGAGTCCAAGTGGATGTTTGTGCCAAATTGAAGAAATTCCCTGAAGGTGTTCTTGAGATTTTGCATTCATGAGAATGTGACGTACGTATGTATGTAAATACGGACAACCTGAAAACATAATACCTCCAGCTATGGCTGTTGCCAGTGCGGTAGGATGAAAAACTTCTTGGTAAAAACTTGTCATACATTTTTTGAATATGACAGATTAAAATGCTATTCAAACATAATTTCGGCTAACTGGCATACATGAAAGGAGAGACAGAACGTGGAAAGAAAATGAGGAAACGTATGTGATAGTAAACAAAATGTTGATTTCAGCAACAATTTCATGACTTCTTTCAAAACTTTCAATGATTTTTACTGATTCTAAGACTTCTCCAGGCCTGGAGATGCGATTGTGATATCTTATAAAATTTATAATATGTATTATTATTATAACTTTTCCAGGTTTTCCATGGATGTGGGAACCCTGTACATTGTGTAACTCCTGTGAAGCTATTATGTCCTTCAAAAGAAAAACAATTACACAATATTCTTCTTCCAAGTTTGAATCCATAAGTAATAAAAACCACCTTTGTTTTTTTCCTGATTGCTTAAGCACTATTCTTTAAACTATAAGGTACTTATGCAAAACTCTACACACTAAACAAGCAAAACATTTTACATCTCCGGGGAAAGCATACAATTTTTGCAGCCTCTTCTAAATCTTGTTTTTGTGTCAACATAGCACACACAATCCATCATCTGAATAAGCAAATTAAGCACCTACTTCGCACTGATGAAAAACACTTGGCTTTTGCTTTTTGTGTGTGTAGGGTGTGGCAGCTAGCAATCCAATTCTCATACATGTAAACACACATACACACAGAAACCAAATGTGTGAAGTATGGATGTGTATTCTGAATGTAGCACACTATCAACACAAATAAGGGTAAACACTCCTCAAATAACCAAAGCTAAGTAAAAGAAAACAAAAACAACTGTATTATAAAGACTTAATCCACATCACATGCGATGCTGTCTTGAGCGAAGCAGCTCACGTCAACGTGGAAAGGCAGTTGGCAAAATGGTGAAGCAATATGGACACCAATGTTTATAGTTTTGCTAGAAGTTTGTTATTGAATTTAAAACCGAGAGTAAAGCTGAAATTGTGCATTGAGTTTGGCACACCTGGAAAGTATGCTGGCGACAAGTGTTAAGGCTCATGTAGGTACTTGAATTTTGGCGTCATTGGGCAAAACTGAGCAAACTCTGAGCTGAGAGAAAAATAGATTTCTGCAATATCTATTGGCCAACCACAGGTCATTTCGGAGAGAGAGTGCTCCTATTGGCTGTTCTACTAATGCAGATGCGTTTGTGCCTTCCTTAAGATGGTGAAAGCCTGATTCAATGGCGAAGAATCGTACACAAAAAGTTGCTATTCCAGCACTGCCAACAGCTGCTTACACTACAAGGCAACCACAAGAAGGGAAGATGGACTTATTGTCTTATCCTGACAATTAATAAAATAATATCAGCAAAGCGTTCCAGAGACTAAAAGAAAACACTGCCAATATTTTAGCCTTCTGCTAACTGGAGCCAAAGGTTCACAGCTGCAGCATGAAGCTCGTTTATGTAGCTAATAAACAATCACAATGTGTGCTCCACCTCACTCCCCGCCACCACAGAGCAGCTGTGGAGACAGATCCCCAGTCAGTGGCCATGGCAATATGAGTCAAGCCAGCGCCAACCCCAGCTCCAGGGAACCGGACAGCCTCAACTCCCTGTTGGATCAGCTAACAGGTTAGACCCGGTGCTACCGCTGGCTGGTGCTCATGCTGACTGAATTCAAGCTGCTATAGCCGCTGGCTGAAGGGCCATTTCGCAAGTTGCTGAGCTGCTGCCAGCTCTCCTCCTGGTGAAACAATCCGCAGCGGCGGGAAATGAGGCAAAGGGATGGTGGGATTGCTAGCGTGATAATTCTTGTCTCATTTTTGGTCTGACAAACAGAGAAATAGGGGCGTGGAGGGGCTGAGTCAGTGCGCCATGTGCAACTGTGCAATAAAATAAGATTAAATAAATAAATAAATCAGCGTAGGCCTGTAGAAAACACTGTGCATACTGTATGTCTGAAGTCGTCTGATCAAAGGGGGGCTTTCAGTTGTTATTACCTGACACTCGTAGGCCTCCATAGTCAGTGGTATAGTGGAGGGTATGCGCAGGTATACATGGTATGCCCACTTCTTTTTCTGGCCATTTACAGTATACTCACCTATCAGCCAAAAAGCCATTGTAATATATAGGAGAGTATACCCACTTCCTCCACACTAACCTGCCTATCCACTTAGTAGTACACCCACCTCATCAACTACCTCTACACCACTGTCCATAGACAATGCGTGGAATTTGATACTCAGTTTCTGTAGCCCTTCGGGGGTACCCCACCTGTAAAGGGGTGTCTCTCGCCTTGCCTCTCCCCTTTTGCTGTTGTATTCCATGGGAGAGGTAAGTGACATTGCCGTAGTAATTTCCGTGTTTCCGTGCTGTTAAACTGTTTATAAGTCCATTTTTCAGCTTAGACTTACTGTATAATATGCTAACATATTCCTGTGTAAGTTCATTTGTGTAGGGGCTTAAGTTATATGGTTTTAATTAACGGAGGATTGTGTTTTTACCTCTTGCTGTCAGAGCTGTCAGGAATAAACGGAGATCGCCTCCAAAGATATCCATGCTCTGGGCCTCTTCATAACAACACAATGCAGACAACACTAAAGTCCACCGGTTACACACAGTCCTGCTTGTCCTGCTGTGACTAGCAGCTAATGGTGGCTAATGCTAGCAAACTTAAAAGTAGATATGAAGGCATCCTTGAGTCAGTTAGCTGACACCTCTCTGCTGTTGCTAGTTACTCTGTGTTTAAACAGATAACGCAAACATTTCAAAGGTTTTATCTCAAAAGCAAAACAAGACTTAATAAACACACAGTGCCAAGTTGTCATGTAATTGCCACTTGTAGCAACAAGGCTAGCTCCCTCTGAGCCTCACATTTTTTAAGCCAATCTCTTACTGCCTTTAGAACAGACAACAATACAACTGGAACAACAAATACACGTCTCAGCCTGGGCAAACAGTACTTGTCCAGTTTGTTTTTTTTACATGTCAAAACCCCAAATAAACAATGACAAGGAATTTTGTGTCGGCGGATTGAGTTTCAAAAACTTTTCCGCTTCACATTCTTTCTTTTCATCTCTGACCGTAAATCAGTAAACTCAACGCACCTCCTTGAATCAGAGTAAATATACAGCCTTTCAGTCCCATTTGGCCACCCAATCAGCTTAATTAGTAACTAGTACAATAAATACTTATTGGCAGGTGAAGTCAGAGCGAAGGGATGGAAAGCTTTCTAAAGTGTCAAGTGTTTATGTTGCACCTCTTGTTAAGTGTGATAGATGGGCCGATCAAAGCAGGTTGACAGGAAAGAAAGGAGTAAGTTAAAAAAAAAAAAACATGATGAATGCTCTACTGGCTTTAAAAAGTACAAGTTGTCTAAATTAGGGATACTCTACTTGTCTACCAAGGGGCCACTTTTGTAATTTAATAATTTAATGTTAACTACATTCATATATTGTTTACATATATTATTTTGCTCTTTACGTTAAATTTGTAACTATCTAATATCACACACCTAACGTGCAGGTAATGAGAGTTATGGTTAAGTATGGTGGAGTGATATATATAAGATGTGAGATGCCTCTATTGTTGTCGATGCTCTGTTGTCCTACATTCTTTTTCGGACTTTAAAGTGGATCAAACTACACAGAGAAGCTGTCCCTGTGTTCTTACTTCACCCACAGCCCTTTGATAGTTGATTCTTATGATATAACAAGTGAATTGCCTGTTTTCAGTTTTTCAGTGTTTGCTGTCTTCACTCATCTTAGCCAGGAAATAAATCCAGGTGCAGCGGCACTGCACAGGTCAGGTGTACACAGGGACGTTTCTAGGATTTAAAGACATTGGGGGCTTAGCCTGGACCTCTGATGGTGGGTCAGGGGGATCCTGCCCTGTTACTTTTTTAAACAAGCTCTGTTTTGATGCTCTTTAATGCACTCTGGCGCTGTATTTACATTCATACAGTTTGAATAATTTATTTTCACTGTGAATTAAGAAATGGTTGTCAGGCCACCCGGCACCCTGCAGTGGGCCACATTTGGCCCAGGGGCCGTAAGTTTAGCATCATTGGTCTAACGATTTATAACAGCAGTCATCATACTGATCCACCAACAAAGAACATTCACCCTGTAGCCCCAATGGATCCACAGTTAGATAAATAATGAGTTATCTTATTTTTCTAAATTCTATTTTTATTTAATTTTATTTTTATTTATTTTTTTGTTTTTATTTCATTTTATTTTAATTCTATTTCATTTATTTAAGTTTTTTAGATTCAGGTCAAATCGGAGCAACTGAATTTAAATTATTTCAATTTGGAGGAAATGATGAATGTCTGGTAATTAAAACATTCTTTTACTGCTTGTAACCATGGTAATTATCAGTCCCTAAATCAATCACCTGAACATGAAAGCATAGGTAAGGTAAGGTATACAGAGAAGTGTGTAACCTGGTATGTAAACAGTGATTTTACTTAATCATAATAACTTAACGTAGTTTTTCTAAATTATTAGACTGTTGGGCTGGACGACACAGATAAAATCCTCTTTCACTGTACAGTATATAACATTTTGCACTGCAATATTTCGTGTCATATATCATCATATGTGTTGAAATATAGCATTGAGAGATGTTTTGTAAAATAATCAAGCTCAAATATCTGAAAAATTGCAGTAAATTGATATGAAAATCCTGTACATGTATATCCTCTAGTAGTATGAAGCAGTCCTACCTACTTGATGTATCGCCATATCAACACAAATAAAAATCAAGTATATGTTGACAGTAACATGTCTGAATATGAGCAACATCTGCACATTTTAACAGTCCTTTAAACCACCACACAAGATCTACACAAACTAATGATCTGTACTGGGACTGTAAACATTAAAACACCCCTGTGACAAGCCTTCACATTCAGAGTCCATCTGAAAGAGTTCAGTGTCAATACTTTAAATTTCACCTGGTCAGCTTAAACGTGTGAAAACCTGGTCAACAGGTGAACAAACAACAATGCAGCCGTTGTAACCGGCCTGTGAGTGTAATGACACAATACTCACCATTCTTTATGAGAGTCAGGAGGACGACATGGACGAGGACTTTACACCGCATGGCAAGGCTTGTCTTGAGAGCGAGTTCTTATCATCTGGCCCTTTTTCGGTCTTATATAGAGCTATGAGGTGACAGGGGGCGGGATTGTCCTGCCAGATGGGAAATAAGAAATATTGTCCGAGGGCCTCAGTGAAAGGAGGCCCTTGATATGTGTAGGTCCTCTTAAACAAGCGAGCCCTGGGGTAGACAGAGCAGGGAGAAGGAGGGAGATGTGCAGGGACACACAAGTGGGCAAATAGGTCACTTAAAATTCAGACGGGCCCCTGGCCAAGATTTCGGGGCTACTTTACATTGGTGCAGTGTTGCCGTGAACAAATGGAGAGGGTGATCACACTGAGCTTATGTGGGCAAACACTCAGGCGAGACTAAAACCCTTTTCTATCTGGGGAAAAGTTAGTGTGCTGTTGAATCTGGAGCAAAAGAGGATAAAAACAGGAGAATGGTTATTTTTTTTTCCCTCCTCTGTACAAGCTGTCTATCTCTGTAGTCGGCTCCTACTATGATCGCCGCCTCTGATTGAGGTTAATTTTTAGCCAGAACAAGCGCTTGATGACTGAAGGAAAAGGGGTTGTCTGTTTCATCCCCCTCTGAATATTCATTAACCTGATTTGCTGTTTAAATTGTTTGACTTTGCACTTAAATTAGTCTGAACACACAGCGGTCCTTATTTGGAGATCACACAGGGTATCTGTATTCCTTTCTCTTGTTCCCTCTCTGTTTTACTTTGCTCTAGGCAAAAACAAAAGTGAGACTTTAAAGTGATTGAAAGAGGTGATTAATGTGTTCCCTTTCCCCGCTTGTGTTTGGTACTTTGTGTTCTCTCTGATTTGTCATGTTTTCTCTTCTTTCTTTTTCTGACACTCTTGTTCCTTTCATCAGGTTGAAAGATTGAGTGCAACTCAGGAGAGCTGGAGAAGAGGAGGGACATGAGGGTTTAATGGAGGACACACCAGCTGATGGCAGGAATCAAATAACTCAGCTATTGAGCAGATTGTTTTCATGACTGGCATATTTAATTTCTCACTTTTGCCTTTTTCTTGAGGTCAAATCTATGTAGCTATTTATCTGCATACAACTGTGAGATTAGATAAGCATGTCCTATACATTTTGCAATGTATACATTGTCAAGGTAAAGTAGGCCACTGTGTTACACAAACAGTTAAGTTTTAGTCTTGGTTCTTTTCAGCCCTCTAAGCAGACTCAGAGTGGTGGCGTAACATTTTTTGCGCATATGTGAACACTCCAAGAAAAATCAGACCCCTCTGAAGCAAACTGACCTCAGGAGGTGGTCTGAGTCTGCAGTGCGGTTCGCCTAACCTGTGCACTGTGAACACAAAGCACTCCAGGTTCACTTTGCTCTTTGCAGTTGTATTCAGCCCTCTAGATCACATGCTGTTGCACTGAGATGCTTGAAAAAACAGATGAAACCATGTCAGCATGTAACACATGCAATCACGCAGGACAAGGAGTAGTTTGGTCTAGGGAAGATACTGCAGAATACATCAAACGGTAACAGTCTACAGCACAGAAACGCTAAGGGCTTCCTCCAGTTTTCTACAGGAGAAGGGACACTCTTTCGAGGACAGCAATGTGCACATCTTGGCCAGGGAAGAAGACGACTTCACACCCAATCACCCCTGGTCCCACCTGACCCTAACGACTCACATGATGGCCAGGTGGGTCAAGGACTCACATTGTGACCTTAACGACTCTGAAACCAAGACCTCACATGTGACCCCAACGACTCTGCAAGGCTTTACACCTACACAGGGTTTAAAGCCTGAAACTCTGTACCATTCATTTAGAACTGAAGAAGCTTCTTGGATGAGAGGGGAAATGTCTTCAAGAAACGCAAGCAAATCCAGTTGCCTACGATATCAGCACTTAGGATTACCATGACCTGGATGACTGAGAATCTTAACCGCCAACTCCAATTTTAAGTTCATCGGAAAGTGAGGGGCTTAATAACCGCACTGCAGTGCCACGTCAAAATAAAGAAACACTAGTCCATACCCATTGAGTACAGCATACCATACCATGACTTAGTCATACCAAAAATTAGAAAGAAACAACAACATTGGGCCACAGGGGGAGCCACAGCGATCGGTCCCATTTTAGCCATTTTTAAGCATTTTTCTGTTGATATAGCTCCACCCAGTTGCCAATTAGAGTTAAATTTCTCCAGTCACCTTGAGGTGTCCTGTTCTACATATCTACCAAGTTTAGTAAAAATCAATATGGCGGTTAGGCCTAGACAAGAAATTAGCTCTCTAGCGCCCCCATTTTGTTTGATGGGGTCAATAATGGAGGGGTCCCCTCAGATTATGTGTGGTCATATGCCTACAAAGTTGCATGGTGATCGGTGAAACCCTTGAGATGTTATACACCTTTATGTGATGAGCCACGCCCTCCACAATATTCATTGCCTTATAGATGCTCAGTTTTAGTAAGTTTTCCATCTTTTGCCAAGAGGGAACTTTAGATATTGGTCCCTAGATTATGTTCACTGTGTTTCATGCAGATCGGTCAAACTTCCTAGGAAGAGATCGATTTGAAGTGTTTTTCAAAAAATTCAAAATGGTGGAAAATCTATAGAACTGGAAGTTATGGGTTCTTGAGGCAAATTTGTTCCTCATGAGGAGAGGCATCTCTATGCAAAGTTTCATGTCTCTACGACATACGGGTTATGAGATATGTCCATTCAAAGTTTGCAATTTCAATCAGTTGCTATAGCGCCCCCCTTTGGCCAATTGATGTAATATTGCTTCATTCACATCCTCCCATGACCCTCTACCACTGTGCCAAATTTCACATGGATTGACCAAGTCAGGGAGGAGAAAAACGTGGAACAGACACACAGACACACCCACAGACAGAGTTTTCGTCATTATATAGTAAGATAAACTATGTCAATATATATTATACATAGTGTGAACGGAAAGAGGACTAAGGCCCGATCAGAGCTGAAGTTGACCAGAAAGAGAACTGAGTCCTCTTTCAAATGAGCTGAAAATGTGAACACAAAAAGAACCGAGTCCCTTTTCTGTCGGTCCACTTCTTGGTCCACTTTAAGAGGACTGAGTTTGGTTTGCTTAAAAAGGACTATATGTTAAAACACCCTTAAAAATGTGAGTTTCACCAAGCATTTTATTTTTATTGTCATTTTTTTGGGGAAAAGCGGGCATTTATACAGACATGTTAAATATATATTGCTGCATTTGGTGGCCAAAATGAACGCCACCCTAAAACAACAGCAACCAAAGTGACGTTTTTTCAATATAAAATGTGTGCAAACTTGTCCATCTGACAGTGTTAGGGAAGCTACTTTGAAAGCATAGCTTTGCAAGCACCCAATTACATCACTGTAGGGCTGGGTGATAATGGCCTCTAAATTATATTGCGATGTTTATAGGCTATATCTTGATATCAGGTAATCCTCTCTAAAGCACATCGTGAATACAGATTAACCATTTGATGCATACAGTCACCCCTCCCTGCAACATATGTCTATACAATAGTAAAGGGACGCATTACTTGTGCCACCAGTAGGGTGTTTTATTTGCTGAAATGTAAAAAACACACTTATTTTAAAGTACAGTGACATGGCCAAACACAAGTATGATGCTGAATATTTTAAACTGTGTGGAACTTAAACTACTGACTTATGGCCCTTGGACTCTGAGGACACCACTGTACCCCATGGCTGACCTGCTTGGGGACCACTGCTTTAATGTATGTGGGAAACACAATACGTCAGTTGAAAAACAAACTTGTATACTATTATGTCCTTGGTGTGTGTTTACCATAGAGGCACCTCATTTTACATGATTCTATTTGTCTACTTGTTCCCTGGGGGGGAAATGTTTCCCTGTACTTTTGTATACACAATGCTTTTTCTTGTAAATGTGAAAACTTAAAAACAAACTTTTAAACTGAACACAAAACACTATTTTGAATTTTTAGAAAAACTTAAAGTACTGCCTTGGGGCCTCCTCAAACACGTCTGGTGGCAGTTACAGAACACATCCATGTCTCTGAGAACATGGATGCTTCACCTTCCATTCAGCAGCACAGAGGATCTATTATATCAGCACAGTTTGAAGGCAGGCACCCAAGATTAGTGTCACCATTTCAGTATGTGACAAAATGTCTCCCCCTCTGTTGCTGAAATATGACACTAAATAACGTCAAGAAAGTTTTTTTGCAGAGAAATATGATGTCACAGTGACGTTGACCTTTGAACATAATCATTTCATTATATCCTATTAGGCATTTGTGTGAAATTTTGTCATAATTAGCGTATAACTTTTGGCCAAAAGCATTTTTTTGAGGTCACAGTGACCTTGTCCTTCGACCACTGAATTTGAATCAGTTCATCCATGACTCAAAGTGGATGTTTGTGCTAAGTTTGAAGACATTAGCGGGCTGGGTTACACAGTGAAGTCAAGCTGTCGAAGACTTGTCGATAGCTGGCTGGAATGGAAGCTGAAGGTTGTTCACGCAGTTCTTGCTTGGTTAAAACCTCTGTTGGGTCCATTTTTGGTTGTTCCACACTGTTACAGGGTAGAACATTGGCAACAAGTGACTGGACCCAATTGGGCGCCAGCTGAGGAGGCAGAAGGATAAATTCAGCCAGTTATTTTGAAAGCCAGATTTCAATGATTTCGGTGTGAAACCGGGCTCAAGGAAAATGGCAGTGAAGGGTCTTTAAAATGGCCCTGTGTCTCCACTTCAAAATAACTGAGTATTTTTGTAGCTTGTAACTGAATCTCTGTGGTTTAGAGTTTAGTTTCTCTCCTGTGTCCTGTTTTTACTTTAGATATCTGCTTTATTTTACTGTTTGATGATGCAGGTAAATAGGCTATACGATGCTTGTTAAGGTTGCTTAGCAACCCCAGATGCAACCTGCTGCCGTGCTCTTGGACACAGGCACAGAAAAGGCACAAGAGTAGCCCCCAGTGCCCGACCTCACACTAACCAGCAGTTATTCCACAGGCTAGTTAATATCATGTTGGGCAGGAAATCCAAAGGATGGGATCATTTTGAGAAGGTGAGGGACGAACCCAAAGTGACATGTAAACTCCGCAACTCTGTATCTACATTATGCTTGTGATTAAATCACATATGAATGTACCTCAGCTGGTTCCAGCCCTCCAAAGCCCAGGTAGCTCTAAACTGCCTTAGTCACCTCCCTCACCACATCTGACTGACATTTAGCCCCGCTCTAAACTCCCCATAATGTCTTCACTTTAAAACCAAGAAACTCCTTTTTCTTTATTACCACACAATCAACCGGTACTAGTTTCACTTTTGGAGCAGAGCCCTCCCCTGTGGTCTGCCCTTCTCCTCCACCATCCAACTTCTTGACTGCATCTGCATAGGAAACCCCACTACCCTCCTTGATCTGCTGGACCCTGGCTGCCCTTACATACTGTTTGCCGTCTGCCAGCACTTTAGCAAGATTGATTTCCCCAGTTCTCTTTGCAAAGGCATCCGTCAGTTTAAGAGGGTTCATATTTCCAAATCTCGAGTGTCCCTCCCTGCACTTAATCATTACTTTTAATTCATCCTGCTCTCATTTGTCCCTGACCTGGTCTTACTTCCTGCAGTTTATTCAAAGCTTGGTTATCATCTCCACTCCCACCCCCAAATACTGTTCTTATTCCTACTTCCCTTGACTTCCCAACCCTCGCCATCCACCTCTCCCATCCCTGCAGAGTCCATGCCTTTGGCTTGCTTTTCTCACGATAACTTAATGTGCCTCTCTACAGCTGAATTACATCAAATCACATCTATGGGTAAAGTCAGAACAAGCATTTGTCGATATACAGCGCTCACTGAACATGGGTCTCACTTGTGTTTCCTGTGTGCTTCCAGCCTGGAGAGTCACTGTGCGTTCCAATACCATATGGTATGCCAGAAAAATATTTAGTATGACCCAATACACAGTATGCCAAAAATACCAGGATGTTGTACTACATCTGTATGCGATTCGCAACACACCCTGTGTTTCCAGAAGGCCTCCAGAATATGTCACTGATAACCAAGACCCTAATGCTGATTGGTGGAGAGGATGATGTCTTGGACCACCACAACAAAATTTTGAACCAATCTGAACATGGGGGGTGGGACGAAGCATTCACAACCATTGTTTTTCAGAGCACTTAACTACTTGGGTTCCCTTGACGAATCTGTGCTTCAGAATGTGATGGGGTATTCACGTTCACTACAGAGCCTCTGAATGTCCAAACAGGACATTTGTGATACCACTGAAAAGTTAAGATTCTCCACTTTACGTGACTTTTTAAAGCACGTAGATTGGATTGGCAGTTCAAACGTTCTTCAGCATTTAAGAACAATGGCTACTTTTTGCAATGGGTAGCTGTCTCAGTCTTTGAGGCTGCCCAAATTTGAAGATTCAGATTCTTAATGCCAAATATAATCATGAGAATAAACTATGAGCAGAACAGCAGAACACAATAGAGAAAACCTCACATCTTCTGGGGCTCTAAGAAACCAAATCAAACCACATGCATTTTTAAAGTCATGCAATAATGAAGTCAGACTTTACACTAGTGTCCACATAAAAAGGACAAAGTAATTGATGTATGGAGAGATAACATTCTAGCTTCATCTTGATGGATTCATCTTATGATTTATCTAGAAAAACGAGTTTGAGAAGGGAGAGGTTGCTGTGTTTAAAAAGACTTGAGTGCCTGAGGAGTTTATCAGAAGGACTCTCTGTGCTTACTGGAGGCAAAACGTCAGTGACAGCACATGATGGCAGACTGGACTGTGTGGATACTCCTGATTTGTGCTGTCCTCACTGGGCAAGGTGAGGTTTGACACTGACTTACCAGTTTATTCTCTACTTCAACCAATAAATTACCTCTTCTTAAGCTTAGATTTAGTTTTGTTTAACATTGTAGAGAGATTTTGATCCAACTTTATGGTCATTTTTAAGGATATGCTAAACTGTATTATGTTGAGATGTCTATTTCTCTGATAGTTAAAAACATATCTAAATATTATTGCGTGGCTGTTGCATTGTACAGAGGTATCAATTAATGATTTTACATAACTAAAACACATTTCATTTGTAATATTATAACAGGAAGATTGATTTCACTGACAATTTCCACACAAAAAAAGCATCATTGCAGCAGTAAAAAACGTGGCATTATTAACACAAGTCAGTCCTTGTGTTTAGTGATTACTTCATTATGACTCAGCTAAAACTAAAAATCCACTTGAATGTAATCTGGAAAAGGTCACAGCCTATTTAAAAATCAAATGAGCATATCTATAAATCAGTATCACCATTACTGAATATAAACAGCTGGGAAATTACATTCTTATTTGCTCTGGTTTTATCCTGTTCTGTGTAAATATTGGCTGAAGTACTTAAATGGTTTTCTATGGTGTTTCAGGAAGACTACAAACCAGATTAATTATTGGTACTCTTTAAATATTCTAACAAGGCAAGAAGTTTTCTGTTTAGCTACCAACAGATATTAATACTGCTCACAGTCACGGCCAACTATATTCATATTGGAAACCATCAGATACTCAATGTTTTTTTGTTTTTTGTTTTTTTTCCAAATTTTGAATAGATATTTTCAGTTCAATTCAATTTTATTTATAAAGCCCAATATCACAAATCACAATTTGCCTCACAGGGCTTTACAGCATACGGCATCCCTTTGTCCTTATGACCTTTCTTTCACTGAAGCCCTGTTTTCACACATTTGGTATGGTACCTTTGGAACCAACAGTAACCCCAGCGTTTCCACCGCAAACAGTACTCTTAAATGTGGGCGGAGTTGTTGTGACTTACTGCTCCGTCCAGCACTCACTGTATTTCCTCATTGCCGGTGACACAGATGGATGTCTGCACTTCGTTTATTGTCCACAGAACGAGGCTGCACGCCGACATTTTCAGAACAAAATAAAACAGGCTGCAGTGACAGTCTCACTCCATGGGATATTTAAAAATATAGGGATTGTGCGTTTAGTCCTTCTCAGGCAATCTCAGGGGTTTAGTATTGCTGGAACCCACAGGAGCAATGCTCCACAATGCTTTTTTTCTGTGAAGATGATGATTGGGATATACTGTATGCCTAAATTAATATATATAAACGCTTGAAGATCCACTCATTACTAAGAGTGTATGTCGTATAAAAACTAAAGTAATGGTCAAAGTTGTCACAGTGAAATTTAAGGTGTGCTGATGGATTAATTTCATCAACTCATGCATTGAGTAACATTACAAGTAAATGTTCCACCTTAAAAGTTGCCAGAAGTCGACCCAGTGAAGTAAGTAAGTCATTTTATAGTTACAGTTTACTGATAAAACCCTCCACGGTATGAACAGTGGTTACATGAGCCTCAAAACCAGACACAACTCAGCCCTGAACAGAGTAACCGTTCTCTACTGACCAATCAACAGACTGCAGTGTTCACAGCTCCACCTTTTAGTACCAGATCTGTGTGCTAGGTACCCCAACAGAGGTGTGACCAAAAATGGGGACAGTATGGAACGGTTCCATTGGTACCATCCACAACTTTTTACAGTTGAAATGGGAAAAAAAAGCATACCGAACTGAACTGTACCGTACTGCTCACAGGGCTTATCTTATACTGACCACTTTGAGATATCTGCTCTAATTCGCATTCTGCAAATGTGCCTCGATAGTTCACCTGGTGAGTCCTTCACAGTGGTCAGAGTTCAATTCCCTACCATGTCGTCCCCCCTACAGGGGTCTTTCTACAGCTGTTCTGATAGATGAAGGAAAAACCCACAGAAGATCTATACCACCAGTGTACCACCTACTCATTTTGGTCCATGGGCCACACATAGCCCAGTTTAACCTCAAGTGGGCCAGACCAGTAAAACCATTGCTTAATGACTCATAACACCCCCAAAAGTTACACCTATCTTTTAGTGTAATGGTGTACAAGTCAGTGTTGGGCAGTAGCATCACTACAGTAGTGGACGTTTGTAGTTTAACTACATTTCTCAGTAGCTTGGTGGTAGCGTCGCTGTTTTCTGAATCAAGTAACTTCTCAGTAGTTAAGCTCTTTTATTGATCACTTAGCGCGGTGGCGTCCACATAAGCTACATTTCCAAAATAATTTCTGAAGCTCAAGCGAGGTGGGGATTTCTGTTATGGACTGAAATAAAACTGTCACCGCTACCACACAGAGTCACTTCCGCATGAACCTGATGGGAGACAGCCCTCCATTCCCAAACACCGCCTTTCCGAACGACTCCCACTCCGAAACTGATTTTCAAGTCCATATCAAGTTTCCTGCATCAAACACTGCCGCCCACTCTCCAGCCGCACTCGCACAATTCTGAAACTCGTACTACAAAAGCTTGAAATGAATGTTCAACTCATTGTTTTTATTGAAAATATGTCACTGTCTTCATTTATTATGTATAATTTTGCTAGCAGCAAACACATTTAAAGGAGACGCGTGTCAAGTCTTTTTACGCGCGCCGTCCGTGGTGCTGAAATCCCCACTGCAGCCGCCGCTCTCTGCTGACAGCAGACTGGGGGAGAAAACAAAGACATTTCTTTGCTCTGTGCTTTCAGAAAATAACCAGGGTTAGGGTAAGAAAGACCAATGGTCTGTACAGCAGTCCCACTGTGTTTGCCAGGGCATATCAGGCTGTGTGATTATGCGCATAGATTGGTTTAACGCATTGGAGCAATTTCATACAATTCCGGACATTTAACGTGATAAATTAATTTCAATTCAACATGGTCATTTGCTTAGAGGATTCAGCTGAAGCATAATGAGTGTTATATGTCATTAAGATGAAGTATTTGCTTGTTTTGTGATTAATTATGCACATAATCTATTTGACCCCATCATGAATGGCATTTTTATTCGTTCCTGCAGACAGAGGCAAAAGGATCAATGCGGAGCCTCGGTTTCCTTTGCGTCTCTCTCGTTCATTCAAACTTTGTAAACACGGTTGGGATTTGTAGGGGACATTCATGTGTATGCTGCTCACTATAAAAGGTGTTTACTAAAATGTTTACTAGCCTCATTTCTAGTCAAAACAAATCTCTTTACACTTAAAAAATACTTGTTTAAAGCAAATTTTCACTTGAAATAAGTATGAAAATCTGCCCATGGAGCAAGTTTTTTTTTTGCTTACAATAAAAAAACTTGCTCCACTGACAGATTTTTTTTCAAGTGAAAATTTTCCTGAAACAAGTGAAAATTTTCCTGAAACAAGTGAAAATTGTCTAAAAACAAGTTACTTTTTAGATGATGAGTCTTATTTCAATTGTAATGAGATTTGTTTTGACTAGAAATAAATATTCTTGGTAAGGTTTTGAGTTTTTGCAGTGTACATACACATACATACACGCATGTACGTTTTTGACCATGTTGTGACTGTTTGAAGCAGGTCTTCATTCTTGCTGTTGTGGTTTGAGTCGTGTTGTGAGTTAGTGCAGCTCACTGTTCAATAAACAATTGGACTTAACTTTTTTACCTGCCTATCTGTTTGACTGACAGTTTTATTGATCAGTAAGATAACACTGACTTGGCACGAAGTTGGTTCAGTTTAGTAAAAAGCTTGGATGTAGTTGCACTAGTTACTTTCATTTTGCTGTAGCTTAGCTTGCTACATTTCTGAGGGTGATAGCTTTGATGTAGTGAAGCTTCATTTAATATTAGAGTAACTAGTACCTTAGCTCACTACACTTTCCAAGTAGCTTGCCCAACCTTGCAGCACCTTAGCAATAGCATTCCTGAAAACAATCTGCTTAGGCTGGGTAACTTGAATCCCACTCACTGGCTTCACTTACAGACAAACACAGGCAGGGTCCAGATTTCTCAGTTCAGAATTTGTCTTGAAAATGAAAACAGGCAGGAGGCTACAGCACAGGCAAATGACTGACGTTGTTGTCCTCAGATAACAGGTGTGACAGGTAACGATGACTGATGACTGATTTGACTGACAAATGGTTTCTGAGAAAACCATTGAGAACAAACAGAGGATGACAGAAAAAAGTGTTGGCCATAAATGTAGCCTTAATTGCACAAATGAATGACATTAACATTAAACAATGGTTGCAGTACAATGCTGAAAGACTGGAAACAAGTTGTGCAATTAACACTCACTGAACAAAGAACAAAGGAGATCAGTGATCAGTGTCTTGCATCACAAACAAATGAATGAAATTAAGAAATGGTGATGTGGCACACACACCTGGCAGCATGCCAGTGTGACACATAACAAACTAGATTTAAAAAAATCATAATCAGCCTCCTCATTCCCAAGGGCCAACATGACAATATAAGTGGACTCACATGGGCAATCACTCATCGGGTCAGTCAATATGTTTGGAGTATTGGATGAGATGAAATAACACGAATCGAGGCCGACACTTTCTCCTCATAACTGGCTTTATTCAGTGCACGTCACACATCCATGCAGTTTATATAGAGTGCTCAATGAACGGGAGCATGCCGTGAGACAGCTGCAGTCAGAGGAGACAGACCAGTATTGTTTTAAGATAGAAGTCTGATATAGATTCTTTTGTGCTGAAGCTGCTGATCAACAATATTTTGCACAATGTTCAATATCTTTAAATTTGAACACAAGTGTTCCTTTTTTTCCAGAGAAAAGCCCCTGAAGCAGCATTTTACATAAAGGAGGCTACATATTGTTTAACTTGCTCCTGAAACCTGACACCCCTTAGCCTTCACAAGCGCATCAATATTAGGTGTGCAAAGTCATCCAGTGGGTCGAATTGGACCCTTAAGTGGGCCAGGTCTGGCCCATGGGCCATATGTTTGACACCCCTGATCTATTCAACAGTTTCTAGGTGGGCACCCAAGATAAGTGTCACCAAGTCAGTATTTGACCAAATGTCTCCAGTTCTGTTCCTGAGATATGTTAAATAAGGTCCAGAAAAGTGTTTTTGCAGGAAAGTAATATTCCTCCATCCATTCCATTTTCATCCGCTTATCCGGGGCTGGGTCACAGGGACAGCAAGCCAAGCAAAGCACCCCAGACGGCCCTCTCCCCAGCAACGCTTTCCAGCTCCTCCTGGGGGACCTCAAGGTGTTTCCAGGTCAGACGAGATATGTATGTGTGTTCTTTGTCTATCCCAGGGCCTCCTGCCATTGGGATGTGCCCGAAACACCTCCAATGGGAGGCGCCCAGGAGGCATCCTGATCAGATGCCCAACCACCTCAACTGACCCCTTTTGAGCAGCGGCTTTACTACGACCTCCCTCTGGATGTCCGAGCTGCTCCTTACCCTATCTCTAAGGCTGAGCCCAGCAACCCCACAGAGGAAACTCATTCCAGCCGCTTGTAACCGTGATCTCATTCTTTCGGTCACTACCCAGAGCTCATGACCATAGATGAGAGTTGGAACGTAGATGGAACAGTAAATTGAAAGCTTCGCCTTCTGGCTCAGCTCCCTCTTCACCACGACAGTCTGGCGTCGCGCCCGCATCACTTCAGAGGCTGCACCAAACCACAGATCCATTTCACACTCCCCAAGACCCCAAGATACTTGAACTCCCTCGCTTGAGGCAGTAACACTCTCCCAACCCAGAGGGGGCAATCCACTGGTTTCCGGCAGAGAACCATGGCCTCAGATTTGGAGGTGCTGACTCTCATCACAACCGCTTCACACTCAGCTGTGAACCGACCCAGTGCATGCTGGAGGTCATGGCGTGTTGAGGCCAACAGAACCACATCATCTGCAAAAAGCAGAGATGCAATTCTGAGGTCCTCAAACTGGACCCCTTCCTCCCCTGGCTGCACCCTGAGATCCTGTCCATAAATATCACATGGACAGATCATGGACGGAACAGTGAGATGTCACAGTGAAACTGACTTTTGACCTTTGGGAGATAAATGTCATCACTACGTCCTATTAGATATTTCTGTTAAATTCTATCATAATTAGCATATGAATTCTTGAGTTTTGGCCAAAAACGGGTTTTGTGAGGTTACAGTGACCTTGACCTTTGACTACCAAAATCTAATCAGTACATTAATGAGTCCAAGTGGACACTTTGAAAGAAATCCCTCAAGGCGTCTTTGAGATATTGTGTTTTTCCTAAAAAAAAATATATGTTTTTCTTCTTTATGAAATTTGAAAATTGAAAGAAATACCAAAAAAAAAAAGAAAAAAAAAAGTCCACTAGTAACCCTAGGGTAGCGTCTTAGCTACAGTCAAGACAAAGCATTGCCAAAAAGAGCCTGAGGAAGAGGAACAACAACATTGGCAAAGTTGGCACTATGGCCATGAGAGTGGTGAGCTCTGGTTTCATCATCACATCCCACAAGTCCTGCTGAGGGTCCAATATCTGTGGCAAAGGACATCATGACATTAATTTCAAAAACACAAATGTGCCACTGTCCAGGAGGTATGTATGGAGACTTCAGGTAAAGGTGCAAAATTTCCACATGTGACACCAAATTGTACTGTAACTGTACTCTGGCAGCAGTACTCTTCCTGTTGGTTAGCACAATACTGAGGTAATGTCCACAGTATCACCTGTCAACACACCTGTTCCAGCAACAAAACAATGTCTGAGGCCAGACCTTCGATATTGTCAGGGGTCAAACTTCCTTGTTTATACTGTGAACTTGAACATTACATAACTGTAAAAGAAAAAACCTGCAATGGACAACGCTGCACACCTAAATGACAAACAAATACGCCTGAAATGAATTACCCAATATGAAACTGCCCTGTAACAATTCAAAACATTCATTCACCGTTTGCAGGAAACTGTTCTCAGTTTTACTTAGAGATGTACTGATACCGCTTTTTCCTTCCCGATTCCGATCCCTGAACCTTAGGTATCTGCCCATACCGAGTACCGATCCGATACCAGCACGTAAAATAAAAATGGATGGGATATGAATTGTTGTATGTCTCAACTCCTAAAACTCTATGTAAAATATTAAGAAATAAATACATAATAGTAGAATGAATGCCATAAATCTTTTTTATTATTATTATCCAGTGTTGACACAGATCAAGACACAGGTTAAAGTGCAGCCACACAATTTGGTAAAAAAGACATTTTAAAGGACAACTTCGGTATTTTTCAACCTGGGCTCTATTTCCCCATGTGTATGTGTGCATATGATTCATAGGTACCACTCGTTCTAAAATTGATTCAGTATTGAGCCGCGAAATGAGCTAAAACGGTAATGGGGGCAAATGCATCCCGTATAAAAGTACTTTTTTTCGCCACTGACCGGTTCAGATCGCCAGTGCTATCTCTGTAAATAGCATATTGTAGCGGCCCTGGGGCAGTGGTGACTGTGAATGAGTGGAGTCAGCTGTCAGTCAGTGTTGGAGCAGAGAGGCGGATGACGTCCCCGCTCTGTATTGTAAATGAGTATGTGTGTGTGAAGTGTGTGTTTTTTTGCCACTTACCGGTTCAGATCATCAGTGTTATCTCTGTAAATAGCATGCTAACTTAGCCTTTCCCTTACCTCTGGGCTGTGTGATGTCACGAGCTTTGCTCCACTGTGTCTGTAGCTCTCTCTACTCGTGGGACAGCCGTTTTCTTGAGGAAGAGGTGTTTCGGGATTGGATGTCTTCTTTTCTTCGACTGGCAGTACTCATCTTGGGAGAAGTGAGCACTGCAGACCCGATGGTCTGCAAGGCGCAGTGTCTGGACAGGAGTGTTAGCATCCATTTGTAGCACAACTAGCCACAACTTCAGCATCTCGCCGTCCGACAAAGGCAGCCTATGAAAGCTGTAACGTTACGGGGTGTTGCGCGACATCCTGTTCTTGCGTTTGGGAAAAAGGCCCGTTTATTTGAGCACTCCAAAAACTCCGGTAACACTCCAGGGGGTAGCACGTAAAAGACTCTGTCCTCTGACTCTTCTAGCGTAACACATACTTCACACACACATACTCATTTACATTACCAAGCGGGGACGCCTTCCACCTCTCTGCTCCAACACTGACTGACAGCTGACTCCACTCATTCATACTCACCACTGCCTCAGGGCCGCTACCATATGCTATTTACAGAGATAGCACTGGCGATCTGAACCGGTCAGTGGCAAAAAAAAAGCACTTTTATACAGGACGCATTTGCCCCCATTACCGTTTTAGCTCGTTTCGCGGCTCAATACTGAACCAATTCTAGAACGAGTGGTACCCATGAATCATACGCACACATACACATGGGGAAATAGAGCCCAGGATGAAAAATGGTATCGGTATCGGTACAACTTTAGTTTTACTCAAGAAAGACAAATCTGTGTATTTTCGTGGTTATTTATTAAAGGCAAACTCATTAGCACAAGTGTACTCTTATGGAATAATCTAACTGTACAATGAAGTGTAATAGTAAAACACATCTTCCATGTTAAAGAACAGCTTTATTTCATTTGCATGGCAGAGATTCAAAAAAGCTCCACATGGAGTCTAACTGTATTGATGTGCACGAGTCTCTGGCCACTTTGATAATATCTAAAGCCATTTGATATGACTAAGTAATTTTAACAAAATTAAATTCGATTCACATCAGAAGGAGTTGAAGAAGCAGGTGGAACTCTAGTGCCACCGTGTGTCTGTAGTTACTCACATCTACTTCACTACGAAAACTACTATCAGTGGAAAGATTCGTTGGGTATAACAACATGGAGGTGTGCAGATGTAATTAAACTATTCTTAATCTCTCTTCCCTACAGGGTCAAAGGCTCAGGGTAAGCACAGTCACATTCCAGAAATGCAATGTACACAGCTGAAACATGTTTAGCCTCACACATGATTCAGCCTCACTTTACTGTGAATGTACTGACTCACTGTTGATTTTGCTGTGTCAGATTGTGGGATGGCACCTCTCAACACAAGGATAGTGGGCGGTGAGAACGCCACAGCTGGATCATGGCCCTGGCAGGTCAGCTTGCACTTAAATCCTCGCGGGTCTCACATCTGTGGAGGGACCCTCATCAGTGACCAGTGGGTGCTCACTGCAGCCCACTGTATCGTAACGTAAGAGAAACTTATAGCACCTGCATCTGTTGCCTTATCACACTCTGTACCAGATCAGATCAGAGGCCTGTCACAGTTGCTCAGCTTCATGAAGTATTTACCAGTCATAAAGAATCATGTATGATCACACCACCAGGGAAGTGGAACCATACATTTGTTCATATCTAATAAGTTTTCTATTAAAAGTCTTTATTTATTCTTTTATCCAGAAACTCAACTGGTAATTGGACTCTCTACTTTGGACGAGAGACTCAGTCTGGCCCTAATGTTCATGAGGTGAACAGCACTATTTCCCAGATTATCGTCCATCCTGACTACAACAACGTGCTGTTCAACAACGACATCGCCCTGTTGAAGCTCAGCAGCCCTCTCAATTTCACTGACTACATCAGACCTGTCTGCTTGGCAAGTAACTCCAGCCAGTTTCATAACTCCACCCCCTGCTGGGCCACTGGCTGGGGCAGACTAGGAGGGGATGGTGAGTACTGGCATGCTGTGACTGCATTTATGTATTGCTTTTCTAGTCTTAAACCCCTTTTCCACCAGAATTAGCCTGTGTATGCAATTTTTTTTACACACTGCTCAACCCGCTAGAAATAGGCTATAGACTCCTTTCCTATTGCTAGATGACCAGAGCTGTGTACACGGCTCTGCAGCAGACCAGTGTGCCTTGCGGTGTGTGTATGTGTGTGTGTTTAAGGCCGGAGAACAGGTCAGTGAAAACTTAACGGTGGTTACTTCTTTTAATATACTTATTCAGTCTCTCTTTCAAACTCAGTGCAGACTTAATGTGAATGGTGTTTGAGTGCTGGTTGGTCGGAGATGGACGGTATTTTGTGACAGCCTGTCACTGCATTTCGCCGGTAAAGGAGCTTAATGTATTGTCTTTCCACCAATGCCAATTGGAGCTGGAGGCGATAAATACCCGTGACTACTGCAGAGTAATTAGACCTGGGTGTGTGCTGATTAAAACCTTTCCCATTAAATTAAAAACCAAGATGTTAGTGGGTTTTTTGTGCAGTGGGAAAGGGGCTTGAGTGACCACTCAAAGCCCTTTACAACACAGGCACCATTCACCCATTCACACACACACACACACACACACACTGTTGGCCAAGGCTACCATACATAGACCCTCACACCAATGGCTCTGGAACAATTTGGTTCAGTATCTTGTCTAAAGACCCTTTGACATGTGGACTGCAGGGGTCAGGGATCAAACCACTAAACTTCTAATGAGTAAACAACCGCTCTACCTCCTGAGCCACAGCCACGGCTGATTACCCAAGATGGCAACCATGCTCTGCCTTGCAGAGACTTTTTCCCAGCGGCCACTCACAGTATTGCAGCGATGATTATATAAGGATGCATTCACACTGGCGCTATTTGGTCCGCTTAAAACAAACCCTGGTCCGCATCCATGGATAGTTCGGTTTGTTTGGAGTGGTGTGAATGCTCTTTCGAACTCTGGTGTGGACCAAATGAGCAAACCCTGGTCCGCTTGAAAACTCGGTTCACTTACAAGTGAACCCTGGTGTGGTGTGCTTACAGTGGGAAATGCAAACGGACTATCCAGTGAGCCAAAGACAGGAAGTGATGTAGAGCACATTGCATTTTGGTGTTTGGTGTTTTTGTGGTGACCAAGCCGGCTGAAGGGGAGGGATTTCCATTTTCGGTCATGGCCAACTGTTTTCTTCTTCCTCATGCTTTTTTTCTTCCTGGTCAGTGCTTGTTTCGGGTAATACCGCCCACAAACGAGCAGCTGTTGTAACTGCGTCCAGGCGGTTTGGTCCGCTTTAAAAAGTTCAGTGTGAAAGTGAACCGAACCAAATGAAGGTGTGAAATTTTTCGGCATTCCACACCCAATTGAACCGAGTTCCCCAGACTATCCTGGTGTGAATGTGCCCTAAGATGTGTCTGCAAAACTGTTGACAAGACACCTTGAACTGAAAGCAAGGGCAATTGTGACTCTTTGTATTATGGATTTTATTTTTTATCAATGGAGGTTTATATTTGTAAAACTTTCCTTGAGCCAAGAAAAGCAATTTAAAAATCTGTGACGTCATCACAATGTAAAGTCTATGAGCGGGCGGGGCCAGCAGGAGAAACACTATTGCGCACAACTCCATTGAAAAGAAAAGGCGCCATCTTGGGATCTGGTGTCTAGGTAATATTATTTATCTATAATCAACATGTTGGCATTGTCATTGTGAGCAGGCTAGCATACTGACACTGGCATTTAGCCCCTCGTACACCTTACAGAGCCTCTAGCATGGCTGGACACTCTAGTCTTTTTTCCTGACAGTTACAAGGTGCACTGTCACAAATTGATGGTCATGGTACAGGGGTTCTCTGCCAGAAACCGGTGGATTGTCCCCTCTGGGTTGGGAGAGAGTTATTGCCTCAAGCAAGGGAGTTCAATTATCTCAGGGTTTTGTTCATGAGTGAGGGTAGACTGGAGCGTGAGATGAATTGGCGGTTTATTGCGGCCTCTGCAGTGATGCGGGCGCAGCACCAGACTGTCGTGCTGAAGAGGGAGCTGAGCCGGAAGGCAAAGCTTTTGATTAACTGGTCCATCTACCACCCCTCATCTATGGTCATGAGCTCTGGGTAGTGACCAAAGAATGAGATTGTGGATACAAGCAGCCAAAATGAGTTTTCTCCGTGGGGTGGCTGGGCTCAGCTTTAGAGACAGGGTAAGGAGCGCAGACATCCAGAGGGAGCTCAGAGTAGAGCCGCTGCTCCTTCGTGTCGAAAAGAGTCAGTTGAAGTGGTTCAGGCATCTGATCAGGATGCCTCCTGGGCGCCTCCCGTTAGAGGTGTTCCAGGCACGTCCCACTAGTAGGAGGCCCCGGGGCAGACGCAGAACACGCTGGAGGGATTACATATTTCATCTGGCCTGAGAACACCTTGGGGTTCCCCAGGAGGAGCTGGAAAGCGTTGCTGGGGAGAGGGACGTCTGGCATGCTTTGCTTGGCCTGCTGCCCCCGCGACCCGGCCCCGGATGAAAATGGGATGAATGGTACGGGGGTGCTGTAGCCTATCACAGCTAACATTGGGCAACAGGTGGGACACATCTTGGACAGGTCAGCAGACCACAGGGCTGACACATAGAGGCAGACATCAACAAGCTTAATTTATGGAGGAAAAGAAGGCATCACCACCACTACTGAAATGAAATATCCTTAAAACTGTGTAAAACAGGGAAAATAAACAGTGTGTCCTCTGATTTAATTTTCTCTCTCCCACAGCACCCTTTGAAGCCTTTGACTCACTGCAGGAGGTTGAGGTTCCTCTCATGGGAGAAAATCAGTGCAGTTGCCTCTTCCTACCAGTACCATTTGTAAACATCACTGACGCAATGATTTGTGCAGGGAAAAAAAACAAAGGAGTGTGTCATGTAAGAATAATAATGCATTATGTAATATCTTTAGTAGCTGTCTTCCCTCTCATCTTACACCCCTCTGTACCTATTTCAGCACCATAATACAAACTTTTATATTCTGCTATCAAAATGTTATTGTTAGTCAGAATGCACTTGATGAAGCAAAACTACTCCAGCCTTATTCTATGTATTTTACCAGCAGTGTTAATTAACTGTTAATTAATTAACATGTTTTGTGTCTTTTTTCAGGGAGACTCTGGTGGACCTCTGCAATGCAAACAAGGCTCTCAGTGGCTCCAGGCTGGCATTACCAGTTTTGGAGAACCGTGTGCCCTGGGTAATTTTCCTGATGTCTATGCCAGAGTCTCTGAATTCCAGGCTTGGATCATGGAACAAGGGGCGGGGTCAAATGTTAGCTTTGTGACATTCAACTCCAGTGGCACCGACCAAGACGACAGCTTTGTGTGTCGCAGCTCAAATGCAGCCACAGCAGCTCCAAATGCGACAGCCACAGCAGCTCCAAATGCGACAGCCACAGCAGCTCCAACTAACGCTTCCACAGCATCAACTGTTCCAACTGAGCTTACATTCATTGTCATCTTAGTGACAGTGTTCCTGCAGCACATAGCAGCTCCATAGCAGTTTTGCAGTGTTTTCTAAATTTCTTCTTCCTCCATTGGGTTATGTTTGTCTTTTAAATAATTGTACAAAGCATACACCTATGTCTAACATCATGATAACTGTAATCGAGTTTATGTGGTGAAAGTCTTGCCACACTGTTGTTTTGGAGCATAAGTTTGTCTTTGTTGAAACATATTTTGCATTGCACTTAATTTTTTTTATTGGCTCATTCTAATGTAACACAAACTTCATCATCTCAGCCCCATGTCGGCCTGGAGGGGATCATGTGTTTCGTATGTGTTTGTGTGTTCCTGTTATCTGCAGCTAATCTCACAAACTACTGGACTAATCAGTGTATTTTTTTTGTTTGCACATTTATGACTGTATGCTGAAGGACCTCTTCTCGTGGTTGCAGTGATTCATAATTGTTTAAAAATACATTTTATTGACTGTTTTATACCGTCACTGACTGCTGACTCTTCATTCCTCTTAACCAGCCAGCAGAGGCTGCAAGTTTTCTAGAAATGGGCTCGACTATAAACAACAAGCCTTGACTAGTTTGTTGCTGTCTGGTCAAATTTTTTTTACTGTGAATAGTTCAGTGAGCATGGAAAGGAACACCATGCAAAAGTTTGGCCACCCCAAGACATTTGAGCTCTTGGACAACCTTTACCATGTTCTCAGACCTGTTAATTAGCTGGTTAGGGCTCTGGCTTATTGGCAGTCATCATAAGGAAAAAGCCTGAGGGCTGTACCATGAAACCAGTTCAACAGAGCAAGGCTCTCTTTTTCTGAGCTGACTTGAAAAACCCTAAAGCCTTCAGTCACAGATTGCGGGTCCCACGAAGATGGTTCTGAACTTGCTCTGTTAACCCAGGCTTTCTGCTTCAGGCTCTGTGCACGCTCGTATAAAACAAGTCAAATGACACGTTCAGCACATCTGACACTTAAAATTGATCAATCGTGTGCCGCTTACTTCTGCCTTTGAAGAATATTAAAAAGCAATACAGTAAGAAGCGACACTGTTGCTTCTATTAAGGCGAGAGAAGAGTGCTTGCATTCATATTACTAATGATGTGAACTCATAGGCGAATGTGCTGAATTTACTTGATGTAGCAGATTTAAACGTTAAACTCAAGAGCTGCATTTACTGTCCCACGATGGAGATGGAGAAATCACTTAACTCTTGGGGCACAGCAAGGTGAAATAAATTGTATTGATTGCATACGCTATTATCTGTGATTAATACATGTACCAATAGACTGATCGAGTTTCTCATCAGTGTTATATTACCTGTAATGTAAAACAGACTTACGCAAATCAGGACCAAGAATTAAACCTAATCCAAAATGGTAACATTTATGCCAGTGTTGGGCAAGTGCATTACTAGTAACGCATTACAGTGATATTACTTTTTCCAGTAATGAGTAGTGTAACTAATTACTAATAACATTTCAATAATAATACAGTTACACCTAAACTAGGGTGACCATATTTTGATTTCCAAAAAAGAGGACACTCAGCCTGGCCACGAGATAGCCTACTTAAATGATACTCACAGTTTACTCAAAGATATTTTAGATAGTACTCTAAAAACGGCGTTTTTGGGACGGTAGGTTTTTTGCGGCTTGTTGTAATACAGGGTCGTAAAAAGATACATCTACTGAGTATATCAAATGTCTAGTAAAGCTGAACTAGTAATGACACTGCACCTAGATGAAATATGTTAAGAAAAAGTAGGCATGATGGTTCATTTCAGATATTTTAGCAAGTTCTCTAGAAACGGCGTTTTTGTGATTGAATATTTGAATAGGCTATAACAAATATCTAGAACAGCCGAACTATCACGTTATTATCATTATTATTATTATTGGTGGGAAATTATAGCGGGAATGTATTTGCCGTTTTAATATCAAGAACACTTCGGCGTTTTTGTGTGTATACAGGAATGTTAAAGATATCATTGACGAAAACGAGGTTGACGTGATGTGATTGAATCAGGGAATCCGTGTGTCCACCACGGGAGAGGACCCTACTTGACTTTACATTGGCATTGTTTTCGTGGTGGCAGCACGTAATTTCAACCCATTACATGCTGCCACCACGGAATGCGGTGTTAAGAGGTTGTGGTCATTTCACGTATTTCTGTGCGATCAGGTTGAAAAAAAAAAAAAGCTATCAAGCTATATACATTCACACAGAGGCACACATCTGAATTTTGGGGAGATATGCAATTTAATGAGGTGTAACAGAAAAGTAATATAACGAGTAGGGTAATGAATTACTGTTGGCAGGGAGTAATAAGTAATATATTATATTTTTTAGAGCAACAAGCCCAACATTGGTACTAGCTAGGTAACGCTGGCTGCTTATCAACTCCTTGATCATAACAGAATATTGTAACCTTCACCACTGCTCATTTTAGGAAGGCCACCGCAAGAAAAGTGTTCTTTGCAAATGTACCATAATGTGTGTTTAGAATGGTTTCCATCTGCAGCCAGGCATGATCCTGAAACAAATGAAGGCTTGCTAACATTAGCATGTTAGCTAATCTCTGAAATTCAAGAGCTGCAATAATAATTACAAAACAGGTTAAACCTTTTCTAAGCCAACAAAAGAAAGCAGCTCAACTGCCTGAAACCAAGGCAGCAAGGGCTTGAAATCAGGGCTGCAAGAAAAAACTGACGTCATTCTTTTCTCTCAGCCTTGTGAGAGAGAACAAATTTCTCTATTCTTGCAGAGTATGTAAAGGCCTTAACAATGGAGGCAGCATTTCAATAACAGCACACTCAAAGTCCTACTTTTTACTCCCCATACATTCAGGCGTCACAACTCCTCCTCCGCAGTGACTCAGCCTGTGAGTGTGTTTGAGCTTATACCTATTTTTTTTTTATCTTTGTGTGAGTGAAGTGTGCTTGGTGTGTTTTAGTTTTGTCTGCACTTGCCTGCCCCCCCCGCCAGTCTGCCAGCCACCTCTCCACGTCTGCCAAGCAGTCAGCCAGCCATCACTCATCACCTTTGCTGTCAAGATCATCCACCCCCGGACAAGACACCAACCCCTCTCTGCTGGAACTACTACTCATCATCCCCAAGACCTCTTTCACCATTCACTTTTTCATTTAAAGACTGGTGTTAGATCTACTCACCTGTCTTGTGTCTAACAAACATGACATTAGGAGTGAGTGCAGGATCTCTCCGCTCAGTTTAATCACGAGTTATGGCCTATTTCCTTCTGTACCATGCCTATAGCAGAGGGTTTTGGATTGGAGGCGGCCATGTTTTTTGAACAATCTTGCTCATTTACAGTAGGATTGTGTAACCCAGTTGCACATTTGGTGTTGATAGAGTCAAAGTCCAAAAAAGTCTATTCATATTAGGCTACTGAATGTGTGTCCTACATGCTGGGGAGAGGGATGTTTGGGGTGCTTTGCTTGGCCTGCTGCCCCCGGATAATTGTATGAAAATGCATGGATTTCAATTTAATCAGGATCACGGTATGAGGGGGTGGCCTGTCAACATTTTCAGTTTTTCACCTGTCAATTATTGCTCCTCTGTCAAGCCAAATGGGATGAAATTGAAGTATCAGGACATCATTTTGGGTTGCAGTGGGAACTTTCATGTCTCTAGCTTGTTCCAGCTCACAGTTAATGTACCTAATTACAAGAATAAAATAGAATTACTCTTGAATCGTGAATTCCCTGATAAGTAGACATATGTAATGTTAGAGTTTGATATCAATCACAAGCAATAGTGATGGGAACTGAACTTTCTTTAAAAGTAGGTCAAACAGGGAGTTGGATGCTTCTTTTAAACATTTTGCCAAGTATCTCAGCAGCCAACGCAACTGAATGAAGGTGTGGTAACAATAATCAGCATCTGGCATTCAAGTAGGGACAAACAATAAATTACTGTTCCAATCAGATATACTTCCTTCTGCAGTAATTCCCCCTTCTTCTGTCTCGCTTCAGTTCAAACAAATAGGTCACACTAACAGGTTGGGGTAGCATGCACAGTCATTTCGGTTTGAATGTAACTTACATAACCACAATTAAAGGATTATATTGCTCTTATGTAAACTAGATTCATTTAAAAATAAATAAATGGCAGTCCCAGGTTCAAGCCACAAGCAACAGGAGGGGCCTTTGGGCATCACAAAACTGAGTAAAGTCACTTGAGCTGGTTTCATTTTGTCTAAAGAAGGAGTGAGACCAAACAAACACTTGATTTCTCATTACAGTGCATACAGGGTTTCAATAATTGCACACTCAAAGTTGCTCCCCATTTATGGCATGTGAACAAAACTTAATTGGTATGTTCAGGATTGAGTGCAGGTTCTCTCCAAACAGTTTAATCAAGATTTCTCAAAGAAAACTTGTGTAATGGCCTTTTTCCAACTAAGCTCTGCCATCAGCGGCACCAGCAGGGATTTTGGGCTCCATAAAAAGATATCACATTACACCCCACCACCACAAGCCATGTGAATCCTGTGCAAATACTGTAACCACACCTCCAGAACAAGTAGCGTAGTGGAGGATATACCCAAATATACGGGATATACCCACTTTTTTTCTGGCTGCCCAGAGTATACCCACCTATGAGCCAAAAAAGCCATTGGAATACACAGGACAGCATACCCACTTGCACCTCAGTTACCTACCCATCTACCTTGTAGTATACACCTCATCAACCACCACTACACCACTGCCCAGAACCAAATCAACCCATTCAAACTAGGGGTGAGAATCACCAGGGCCCAGTATTTCAAAGTTATCTGATAGGATTATCCTGGCCGGATTGGATTAAATCCTCATCTGATCTGAAAACTGGGTATTTCAACACAGATCAGAAATTTCAGGATTATTTGGATCCCACCTCAGAGGTGGATTTGACAAAGCCTCAGCTCCACTTCTCCTAGATATTGATACTCAAGATGTTCATTACACTTCATCTAAATTAGTGTTTTAGTTGTAAGTAATTTCAAGCATAGAAAAATATTGTTTGGCCATACTTCCTGAAACTGCTGTAAATAAGAGTAACAAATACAGACCTATTTCTCAACGTCTAGTTTCACCTAACATTATAACCTGTTTGTACCAAAACATCCAACATATGTTTGTGGTCAGACAAAGGCAAGGAAATGCAGTGCAAAGCAAATTTATTTGTATAGCACATTTTCTTTACATAGAGTGCAAGAAACAACACAGGGATTAACATAATAAGCACATGGCAATTCAAACAAAGTACTAAAAAAGCAATTAGAAACAAATGATATGTGTGCACTTGCATTTTTCCAATGTTACATCACATCTTTGAGGGGGGAAAAGTAATAGCTCAACTATGTCCTGAAAAAACATTGCTGTATGTCTCAATTTAAATCACATTTAAGCACTTTAAATGTATATTTTCATGCTTCTGATTTAATGAAGATAAATTTTACTTAATTCAGGTACGCTTGAAAATGCACCTTTAAAATCCCTGGGAAGTGCTTGACTGTGATTTTATAACATGCAGCAATGTATTTCAGGAAGTGTTTGTGATTATTTTACTTCATCAAATCAGATGCTATAGTGCTATATGTTTAGTGGGAGCCTTCTACAAAAGGGGATACATTTCCAGGGATTTCCAGCATTCGACCTGTTGTCTTCATTAGCAGTGGCATTGCTGAGTGGTCCATGGGTGTGAGTGTATTCTGAAAGTAGAAGTAGAGTGTGTATGAGCATATCTTTATCATTGTCAGGAATCCACAATAGTCAGAGAAATTGTTTAAGTAACGTTACAGAAAAGCATATCATCAGCATTACTGTAGCATACCCAAACTCAATCCTCTGACACTTCTGAATGAACCGCATCATTCATACTAGTACTGTGTATTTTTCCTATACTGAAGCAGTCTGCTCTGCACACAAAAATAAAAAAGGTCTGCTGTGTTGGCAATAACATAACGTTAAACTCGGAACAGGTTGGTGTTTAAAGAGTTGATATATGATGTACTTCTGATTAATTACCTTTTAAATTAAACCGTAGACCGCAAAATACATCAACAAAGCCAGCTACCTCGCTAGCCTACTGTCTAATTAACATGCAAGTCAATGGAGCCGCGTTAGCTACCGTTAGCATGACCTCGGCTCAATTAGAGATCAGTACGCCCACGTTTTAAGTAGGTGACAATTCAAATAGCTGGCTCACATCAGATGGTGAGTGGCCTTCGTATGGTCTTAAAAACGCTACACATTAGACAACGGTATACTTACATTTTGATGCGAAAGCTGTGCTACCAACTGCTCCTTTCGTGAAGTACTCCACCGTGGAGACAGAGCACAGCGGGTCATTATCTGAAAGCCACGCCCCCAAAGGGGAAACGTTTCAGATCCGGGGGCGGAGTCGTGAGATTTGGAAATCCGTATCCAGTCAGATTGGGATCAAAGTGATCCACCCTGCCAATGTTTTGAAATACCCAGATAAAGTCAGCAGGATCACCTTGATCCCTGACTGAGAAAAGGAGGATTTCATTATCCGGATTATTCTGATCCGGATTACAAGTTTTGAAATACTGGGCCCAGAGGATCCAGGATACGATACCATTAGGATACACAAGTCACGATACAACACTACTGCAATTTTAAATATGTTGCAATAAAATATACTGCGATATTTTGCAATTTATCTTTTTTTTCAACTGTAAATTATGTCTCCAAAGTTTTTAGTTTAATATGTATTTGTGAAATTAATAATTGATATAATAAAAAAGTCGATACATGGCAATGTGACGATATGATATTGCCACACAAAAATATCGTGATACTACGCTGTATCAATTTTTTCCCCCACCTCTGATTCAGAGCTTTAAATAACTGTACCATTGCAATATTGTACTTTTTACTCCATTGTATTTAATTGTCATTAATACTTAATTGTGATTTTTTTAAATGAAAATATATATATTTTCCACTTAGGTGATATGATAAAATATTACACTACTAAAATTGGCTCAAAATTGACAAATTACAACATTAAAATACTCTTACATATAAACAGAATCATTTAATATTTTATCATAACCTAAGGAGCCCATGTTATGATCCTAGGAATGATATTTCTGTGATTATGATACTCTGAAAGGAGCCATTCTGCATATTGAGTACTTTTTACTTTTGATACTTTGAGTACATTTTGCTGAAAATACTTCTGAACATTCTGAATCCAGGACTTTTTCTTATAATGGAGTATTTTTAGACTGTAGTAGTTTTACTTCCACCACTGATAATAACATCATATGCAAAATGTGACAGCATGCTGCTCACCTCCTTCCTCAACTGATTTAATACGAGTAGCCTGCTAAAAGTTTGACTGTAATGATTAAATGGAGGCTTAAAGAGGAGCAAAATGTAGCACTCAGAATTGTCTGTTAAGATATTAACAGTTAGGGGCGCAAACATCGTCTAATTCACTATGGAGTACACAGGTTAATTTCCACCACTCACGGTGACCCACCTGTCTGTGTGAAAGATTGGGTGACATACTGTCGGCCTTTCTTTTCTCTCTGCTGTCTTTCTTTTCATGTCTTCTATCCAAAGGGTGCCTTTGGAAGCCGAGACACAAGGTTCAGCTTCTCCGGCACTCTTCCCTCCTCTCTGTAGTAGATTGCCAAGGTGAAGTTAGTTTGACGTTGGATATTCGACGGATATTGGGATATTCGTTCTGGGTTCAACAGTGATTTCCACCTACCTCTCATAGGCAGAAAATAATGAGCAACATAGATTAGGGCTAATAAGGCACACCTCCTTATAAATGGGTTTCATGCTCTTTCTATTTTATACGAAATTCTTTAAGCAAAATCCATTGGTTTTCTGCCTATGAGAAGGAGGCGGAAATCACTGTTGAACCCAAAATGATTATCTGTCGAATAGCCAACCTCAAACTACCCATTACCATGTGCGCCAGTGCAGGACCGAACCATTTCATGAAAATAGAGGGGGGAGAGGCCAATATAGAGGCTTTTTGGCTGTTAAGCTACTTTTTGAAACCGAAAACATGAAAAGAAAAATAAACTGCTAATATTAATAAGCACATTCTTAATGAAGTCTTCTGTTAATGGTGATGGGTTAATAGCTTTTTTAAAAAAAAAAAAAAGCAAAAAAGTTCTAATATATTTTATTAGGATTAGGGCCATGTAAAAAAAAATCTCGTAGATGTACGACTTTATTCTCATAGATGTGAGTTTTATTCACCAACTGAGGTACACTTGTTTGCCATTTGTGGCATCCCCTATGGATGGGGCTCAAAATGTTTTGGTAGGCCTATTCCCCAACACGTCATGAAGATATTTGCCAAGATTTTTGATGACTGGACAAATCATTGATGAGTTATGTCCAAATTCCTTTAAGCCTCGCCCTTTACAAAGACTGGCGGGCTGCCATATTGTTTGACCAATCCTGCATTTTTTCAGTGCAAATGTGTATCTCAGTCCCATAAGGCTTTGTTCCAAATTTAGTGCTGCTAGAGTCAAAATTCAAAAATGTAATTTTACTGTTTTTTTACATTACGCCTCTCAGCCTCTCTGTATTGTAGAGGTCAGTGAGTGGTTTGTGTCACTGCAAACCAGATGCATTTGCAGATTTGATTTGCAGATGCATATCCGGAGTACAAAACAGATCTTCAACACAGCCAAACTCATTAACACAAGTGCATTAGCTTCCCCTGGAATAATCTAACTGTATAGTGATGGTTAATAGTAAAACATAACATCCATATTAAAGCTTATTAAATGTCAGCATTTTATTTGAGTGGCAGAGGTTCAATGAAGCTGCACATCAAAAAGCCATGTGATGTGAACAAGTAACTGTAACAGAATCAAATGTGACACAAATTAGAAGGAGTTGAAGAAGCAGCTGGAACTCTGGTGCCACCTTGTGTCTGTTGTTATGCATATCTACTACACTACTAATATTAAAGGAAATGGAAAATGTTGGGTCAAACAACACTAACCACACACACACACACACACACACACACACACAGAGGCATGCAGATGCAATAAACTTTTTTTTTTTTTTTTTAAATCTCTCTTCCCTACAGGGTCACAGGCTCAGGGTAAGTACAGTCATGTCTCATATATTCCAGAAATGGATTGTGAACACAGCTACAGATGAAAAACATTTTTAACCTCACACATGAATCAGCCTCACTTCACTGCACTGACTCACAGCTGTCTATGCTCTGTCAGATTGTGGAGTGGCACCTCTGAACACAAGGACTGCACGCAGTGAGAATGCCACAGCTGGGTCATGGCCCTGGATGGTCAGCATGCACATTGGGTCTCACATCTGTGGAGGGACCGTCATCAGTGACCAGTGGGTGCTCACAGCAGCCCAATATATTGTAATGTAAGAGAAACTTACTGGTTCATCTGGTATACCGGCTGTAATTTCCTGTATGAAATTAATTTTTCATATACTGCCATATCGATGTATTGTTGAAAAAATCTCTCCACCTCTTCAACAGGGAGCAAAATATATTATAGTGTTTGCCATGAAGAGCAATACGGTCGGATCATGCTGTGTATTGAGAAGGGACCCATGTAAAGTGCATACCCTTCTTATAAGCCACAGCTAACTCTCCAACAGGGCAAAACACTATGATAAACATTTTCCAAAGGAGGTATGATGTGAAGAAGGTTGGTTGCTTATAATTTACAGACCTGGGTTTTCAAATCTGTGTTTACTACTGAGTGCATATCCTTCAACTAAATGTCTCATATGGCATTCATCCACTTTTATCCAATTTTTTTTTTATCCAAAACTTTAGGTTATTTAGTGTGGCCCTCTATGTTGTGCTTCACAGCTGGAGAAGTAATAACCCACGCAGCATCCTTGCGCACTCAGTATGGGAAGCTATTGTATCGTACGTCATAGCCTGTGATCCAGGAGCCATTGTACAGTCTGCATATATCAAACTTGATGTACCAAAGTTTATGAGATCCATGTCACACAGTGTAGCTTGCACCAAGCTTCTAAGATTGCTAAAATCTCACAGTCTGCAGGAGGCTTAAGTTACTAAAAAATATATCCTGAAAGAAAATACAAGGTTAACACGAGGACACTGTTGTCAGATTACAGTGATCAGGAAATGAAGCCTTACAGGTGTGAAAGTGTGTCAGACAGAACATTATCACTGCCAGGATATCTGACCTCCACACTGAAGGCATGCATACATGTGTGCCTCTGTGTACCAGTCAGGTTTCTCTTTGAGTTATGTACATGTCTGTGAAAACATGAATGCTTCACACACGTCTTCAACCGTGCAGCACCGAAGATCTGTTCAGTCATCACAGTTTCAAGGTGGACACCCAAGATTAGAGTCACCATAATCATAATCTGATCAAATGTATTTTCCTTCTGTTTCTAAGTGTTTTTGCAGAATGTTATGATGTCACAGTGAAACTGACCTTTTACCTTTTAGATATAAAATGTCATCACATCATCATTTTATCCTGTTAGACATTTGTGTGAAATTTTGTCACAATTAGTGAGTTATGGCTAAAAACATGTTTTCTGAGGTCACAGTGACCTTGACCTTTGACCTTCAATCACCAAATTCTATTTGGTTTATTCTTGAGTCCAAGAAAATGTTTGTGCCAAATCTGAGGAGATTTCTTCAAGGTGTTCTTGAGATATTGTGATCACGAGCATGAGATGGATGCAAGGTCACAGTGACCTTTGACCCTTGACCACCAAATTGTAAACAGTTCATTCTTGAGTCCAACTGGATGTTTGTGCAGAATGTGAAGAAATATCCTCAAGGTGTTCTTGAGATACTGAATAGATGAGAATGAGATGGATGCAAGGTCACAGTGACCTTTGACCTTTGAACACCAAAATCCAACCTGAGTGAGTTACAGAATAGTAAATTTTGGAAAGAAAAAACTTAAATATGTAAACATTACTGTTTTCATGTTAAACAGTTCTTTTTCCTTTCGAAATCTGAATTGCTCTTGAGCATTCCTGCATTGTCCTGAAAGGTGCGCCAATGGGTTTTTTTTCCAAGATAATGAAGGCATGACCCGCCCTACTCTCCCTCTGATTGGCTAATACCTGTTGCCATCTCTGGTTGGGCTGGTAAGATTTAGGCAAGAGGAATAAGACTGGTTAGAGTTAAGGCAAGAATGCCAGGGTAAGCCAATCAGAGACAGAGTAAGGCACAGTAGGGCGGGTCATGCCTTCATCATCCTAGGAATAGAAACCCTTGTTGGAACAGTCTAGTGAGTGTCCCAGGTGTGTGTCATTAACCCTGTAGGGACTGAGGGGGTTTTAGGGACCTGTGATAATTTTGCACTCTCTCATGTTGCTCAATATGAGCAAATGTAAACAGTATTTTCAGGGTTACATGACTTTTAGGGAAAATGTATTTCAGGATTATACTTAAAAAAACAAACAAACATAAAACAGGTCAATGAATCTTTTGTAA